TCCTCATATCAGCTGACCCTCACCACAAAATATTTCTCATCATTCTCTCCGTTCTACTTGCTACAGAATCCAGAATTATGAATATGGAGGGATAGAGTAATACTAGACAAACATTTAGTTATCTTTCTTTCAAGAGATAAGTAGCCTTTTAAATTAGGAAGATAAAATGATCTTTTGTCTTTATTTATTATTTATTTTTTTATTTTTTATATTTGGATTGTGGTGCAGATTTTAGGCTTGAATGCTTATGAATTTTGTTGCTTTTTTATTAATTATGTACATGGTGCAGGTTTTATGAATTTTGAATCTCTCTTACATTCGGTTACATCTTTCTAGGGTGGTCTTTGTGGATGCTGGAATTGCTGCAATCGATCTAGAGACAAAGAGGATGAATGAAGAATTGAGACTGAAAGAGGTACAAGCTAGAGCTGTTGCTGAGCATGGTGAATTAGCTCTGATTTCAGTTGATGGTCCTAAAGCTGATACAAACGAAAGAATATCTTTGAGACCGCCAATGCTACAGGTATTGTTGACTTGTTTTTTTATCAATTATTTATGCTCTTTGCCTAATGGTAGAGGGAGTATAATCTTATAGATTAAATTATAGTACTTTGCAATGGAGTTGACTGATTAACTTGTTTAGCTTTCTTTCAGAATGGACTTGTATAATATTGGTTCATTAGATTCTCTTCTTTATTATTATGAACTAGCACATGGTTGTTGCATTTCTAATCAAAGGTCTAGCGTAAAACAGCCTTATCTTGTTTCTGGGTTGCAACATAAATAAATAGAAATATTTTGTTTGGTATTGCAAAGATTCACTCATTTATTATTGCTACAATATCTTGAATTTCTTAGTTCCTTTTGTTTTAAAATTATCTCATAAAAACCTTTTTCTTAATTCTTTTAATATATTTTTGTCCGTTTTCTTGCTTACATAGCATTAGATTAGATTAATAAGTCTTATATGTTTTGACCAGGACAAATATCTGGTTATTTAATTATCTGTGCTATGTGAAGTAGAGCTTTTAAAGTTGCATCCCTAAAGAGCTGTAATTTCATCACTAGCTTGTCACAAACTCAGTACTGGCTAGTCAAACAGCTTATTTCTATTTAGACTATCTAGTAGACCTTCAATTGCTCTGAAAACTTGTATCAGAACTTATTAAGAGCTGGATGAGACGAAAATGGACCAGGTAATAAAATAAGCATATGTCATATAGTGTCATTGATTGAGCTATGCAATTTTTATCTACTGTTTTCAGTTCAACTGTTCTTCTAGTCAGCTTATCTTGTAGGTTTGTTGTCCAGATTACAAAGTATTGGCAGCTATATTGTAGGTTTTATGTTGCCGTTTTTGAAAGAGTATCTTGCAAGATCGTTTATCATTGATTGATTTCTTTTACAAAGATCTGAGCATGTTGTAGTGACTCTGCTGTCACTTGTATGATTATCAAATGCATGATGGATGGAGTTATTATTGCAGGTTGTGAGATTAGCTTCATTTCAGCAAGCTCCTTCTGTGCCACCTTACTTAACATTGCCAAAACAGTCCAAAGTTGACGGGGATGATTCTGGTTTGCCCGAAGATAAACGAGCAAATGATATTGCTGTTGGTGGTGGTGGTGTTGCTGTTGCAGTAACCCGCTTCCCTGCGGAGCAAAAACGACCAATTGGCCCACTTGTGGTTGTGGGAGTTAGAGATGGAGTACTCTGGCTGATTGACAGGTAACCCACCTCTAGTTCTTAAATGTAGTAGCGCTGTGAAACTATGCTTGGTTTCAAGAAGCTAAACCAGTGGGTCCTTTCTACTTCTGTCCTATGGAAGTTTAAGGTTATATGAAGGTGTTTTTTTTTGAGGGAAGGTTATATGAAGTTGATGCTTTGTCAGAAAAGGAAAACCCGAAATCAATCCTCAATTTTTTGAAACCGTTTTCCATCTTTAGATGCATTTGTACTTCTGTTTTGTGTTTGTCCTGTATATTTGAGTATTTAATATTCATGGACTGCTGAAATTCACCTCCAGGTATATGCGGGCCCATGCTTTATCTCTTACCCATCCTGGTATTCGTTGCCGCTGTCTTGCTGCCTACGGGGATGCTGTCAGTGCAGTAAAATGGTAATTATCCTTTAAATTTCCCATGTTTGCTGGATGCATGTGCTTATTGAGGTGGTACATTAATTACTTCTGCATCTACAGGGCTACTAGACTTGGCAGAGAGCATCATGATGACTTGGCTGAATTTATGCTCGGAATGGGTTATGCTGCTGAAGCTCTTCATTTGCCTGGAATATCGAAGAGGTAAGCTCATGCTACATGCTATGTACAAGTTGGTTATTCAACTCTATCATAGTATCATAGTGTTGCTTCTGCTTCTGATTGCTCTTTATAACTTGTGCTTTTGTAATACCTGACAATGACTATATGATGTTTTAATGATGCCTTTTTCAATGCATAAAAAATATGCGCAACAATCTGATTAGCAGTCGATGCTCCAAGATTTCTAGATTGTTTTATGATCTTTATGATTTTAAGCTGTGATTTCATCTTTTCTTTTGTAGGTTGGAGTTTGATCTGGCCATGCAGGGAAATGATTTGAAAAGAGCTCTTCAGTGCCTTTTGACAATGAGCAATAGCAGGGATATAGGACAAGAAACTTCAGGGTTGGATTTGACGAACCTGTTAAATGTAGCTGCTAAGAAAGAAAATATTGTAGATGCAGTACAAGGGATAGCAAAATTTGCAAAGCAATTTTTGGATCTTATTGATGCAGCAGATGCAACAGCACAATCTGAAATTGCCCGTGAAGCTCTTAAGCGATTAGCTGCAGCTGGTTCTGTGAAGGGATCTTTGCAGAGTCATGAATTAAGGGGTCTGGCCTTGCGACTTGCAAACCATGGAGAGTTAACTCGCTTAAGTGTATGTTCTCTTCCACTCTGGTGTACTAAGATACTGTTGTTCAAGATTGATATGTTTATTTTTTATGTTTACTCATAAAATTTATTTAGACATCTGCAAGATCAAACTTAATATGTTTCTTTTAATTTTCACCTTCTCTTTATGACCTGGATGTAGTGGGATATCTTTTAGAAGGTTTCATTTATAAATATGATAATCACCTATCATTCCAATGCGACTAATCTTATTAAATGTGCAAGTGTTGCTGTCAAATCAATTAAAGCTGTAGATACAAATGGCTCTTACATAATCTGTTGCATCAAGCAACCTCTAGAGTATATCTACTCTTCATGACTAAACATTAACTTAGATACGGTGTGTCCCTGAAAACCCATTTTAAACATCATTTGTAGATTTTCCATTGAGATTTAAATCAACTGCAATCCCTTTCAGCATCAAATACTTCATTTTGCTCTCCCTTATGATTACATGTCTGCATTACCATCTCTTCTTTGTGCTACTCAAAATGTATCTGATGATTGAATGCAGACTCTGGTGACTAATTTAGTCTCACTTGGATTGGGACGTGAAGCCGCATTTGCGGCTGCAGTTTTGGGTGACAATGCTCTCATGGAGAAGGCGTGGCATGAAACAGGGATGCTTGCAGAGGCTGTACTTCATTCTCATGTATGCTATTTCAAGTTACATGAAGCCTCCCCTATTTTATTTATTTACGTTGGTATTACTGCCTTGTCTGACTAGTTCATATTTATCAGGCCCATGGACGACCAACTCTTAAGAACTTGGTTGAGTCTTGGAATAAAATGTTGCAGAAGGAGATTGAGCATACTCGAACAACCAAGACTGATGCAACTTCTGCATTCCTGGCTTCTCTGGAGGACCCCAAGCTTCCTAGTTTAGGGGACGCTAATAAAAAGCCACCTATTGAAATTCTTCCACCAGGGATGAGCTCTCTCGCGCTTTCAATTTCCGCTCCAAAGAAATCATTGCCCGCCACAAAGGGTTCTCAACAGGAGCCTGGTAAGCAGTTGTTATTAGGAGCACCTCCTACCGCAGCTCCGATTAATGGTGTTATACCACCACCAAAAGATTCTGGAGATTCGAGTGTGACACCTCCAGCAGAGTCCAGTCAACCCGGAGCTCCGTCCACAGCAGAATCCAGCGAACCTGGAGCTACTCCAGCAGAATCCAGCGAATCTGGAGCTACTCCTCCAGCTGAATCCAGCGAATCTGGAGCTACCCCTCCTGCAGAGTCCAGCCAACCTGGAGCTGCTCCACTGGACTCCACCCAAGCTGGAGAGGAATCCGGCGAAGTTGGAGCTTCTTTGGAAGAAGTTTCTCATCAAACAAAACCTGAAGGAGCACCTTCTTCGGAGAATTTGAGTGAACTAGGATCTTCAAATCAAGCTGATTCTAGCCAGTTGGCAGTTTCTAATTCAGTGGAATTTAGTCAGTCAGGAGCGCTACCACCAGCTGACTCAAATCAACCTGAAGCTTCACCGGCTACAGTTGACTCAACTCAATCCACCTTGGACCTCAAGGCTTCTGAGCAACAACTACTTGACAGTATAGGTCCAGAGGTCACCAAACCAAGCAACTCAAGGTCTGCATTTGCAGATCTAGAACAACTGCTTATGTAACCAGTAAGTGAAGAGATATGTATAATGTTTTCTTTCCTTTTTATTTTTTTTGTAACTTTTTTCCTCCGATTTCAGATCCTACATTTTGGTATATTCTGTATGATATAAGCTTGCCTCGAATATTATTCTTGCCCTCTTGTTGGGATTCCCAAGTTATGCAACTTTTTTTTTTTTTTTTTTTTTTTGGTAATTTCCCAACTGATTTCTAGTATTAATGTTCTTTGTATCATCATTTTCAGTAGATATAGGTTCAGCTAGGGGTTTTTAGAAGCCATATACTTCATTTGTAGATTTTCAAATCAGACTTATTCGAGTGAAATGTTATGTGATTGTCGGGATTTCGCATTGTTCTATTTTGGCTTTGTGTAGAATCTTACTATGCAGTTTGTATTGTAATTAAACTAGAAAAATGTTACCTTTCATAAAAACCCTTTGGCGATTTTGGACTTCCCTCTCCACGAGTATAGATCCATGGTATAAGATCTGATTTTGTTTTCATATATACATCAGATTCATAGCTAAAAAAACAGACCCAACAAGACTGATCTGGATGTTACTGCTGTTTTACAAAGTTAACATGCTGTAAAATTTGCAAAGATTGCATCCCCAACATCCACTGAAGTCAATTTCAAATAAACCATGAAAGGTAAAATTTGACTTGTTAAACTACGATACATACTGCATAATAGTTGGACAGTGGATCATTTATTGAAACCCTGTATCTTTCTGATTAGCGAGAGGATATGCCTTCGAAGTCTATCCATATGCTGCCAACATGCTCTATCTTATGCCAATCTTCACCATCAGGTTTTGAGCAGCTGTGCTTGAGCAAGGGACAGTCTTCAATCAACAACTCTTCTACTGACGCAGGCAAGCGTCCCTCTGGCAGGGACTGGAGCAAGGGACAATTACTTATCTCCAAATGTTGGAGCGAATGCATGTCTGAAAGGCTGCAAATTGTAACCAATTGCGGGCAATCCTTCAATTCTAGTTTAAGAAGGGATGGAAAGTCGCTTTTATGCACATCTTTCCATTCTTCCAAAGAAAGCAAGGAGATTAGTGCAAACTTTTTTAATTTTGGGAATGCAACTTTATCATCAATTCCATCATTGTGTTCAATAATTCTGCAGAATTGATCATCAATGACTCTTATGCCTGTTGATCCATCTATGGTGAGAAATTTTAGCGAGGGTAGGCGCCCTAGAGGAGGTAAAACCCGGCAATTTTCACACTTCAAGAGGGTAATGCTCACGAGGTTGGAAAAAGAAGGATCACTAAACCAACTTGGGAATTTGGAACCTCCATAACAGAGTACCTTGAAGTATTTGAGGTCTGTGTGCGGCCGCAGGCACTCAATAACCTCGTTGTCAACTCTGCTGATTTTCTGTCCACTTGAGCTCCAGGCTCCTCAGCTGTACCTTGGTGCTTAGGTCTGCTTCCCTGGCTTCCATTGAGCTTGCAACATTCTGAAGCTTTGTAAGGCGGAGCTCATTTAAGCCATCAAGGTTCTTGAGCTCAGCTATTCCGCAACTTAACTCACAGCCAATGACGAATGGCGACAATGTACAAAGGCGAGTAAGTGCACCAAGGCCAGGGGGGCATACAGTGCAAGTAGGTATGGACACCAAGATGGAGATGTTGAAGCTTTTCTAATCTAGTTGTATCTTTAGGCAGTGTAATTAGACCGCAACAATTTTTGAGTTTTAGAGTTTGCAGTTCCTTAAGGTGGCATACGGTTTCAGGCAAGTTTTTAACGAGGGTCTCAGAGAGATCAAAATAGCGCAAGCCCCTTACATGGCCTATCGAACATGGCAGCTCTGTAATTTTAGTACAGCTCAAATTCAGAATCTGCAGGTGCTTCAATGAGGTGAAAAAATCATAAGGTACATGGTTTACGCAAGACCGGTGACCGTTAAGGAACCAAAGTGTCCTCAGGTTTATGAATTTTTCCAACACTGGAATAACATTGGATGGAAAACTCCACATTGTTACATGCTCAAATTTTGATTTTTCGCAACAGAGTGAATCAAGGGGGACATCAAGATCGATCTTGAGATGGGTCCTTTCCGAATTTGTGACATGGTTAGGTACCAAATCAGTTACCTTGTACCACAGCTTTCCAGTTGTTTCATCATACCTTGAAGGATAGAGATATCCCTCGCTTTGGTATACTTCGAACGAGGAAGCAATGGAAGCAAGAGATGCATCTGCAAAAAGACCAGCAGCCTGACCAAGCTGGATCCATGTATCCCTCTTGATTTCATGATCCTCGGGGAAGAGGCTCAAATAATGCAAGAACGGAGAATCAAACAACAGAGTTAAAGTTGTTTGGTTTGATGATGAAATTTGGTCAAGTACAGAGGGCTCCTTAGGCAAGCAGTCTATAAAGAACAGATCAGTGGCACGTTGGCGATAAAATGTCACTGAATCACCAACAGTTAGGCCCTTTGCCTGTGCAAATTGGAGCCAACCTTTGCCAAATTTGTATTTGTAATCAGACTGATCTTCAGAGAACTCCAAATAAAATCCCCACACTTTTTTACTTTGAATGTCAATGAACAGCACATGGCCAGACCTATCTTGCTCAGCGAGGAAGATACTGCCGTACTCATCTGCTAAAGAACAAAAACCCGTAGTATCCTGTTTCTGAAGCTCCTTACAGAACAAAAGTTCAAGTTGTGCAGGCTTCTTGATGCTTTCTTGTTGACTGCTACTCCCCCTATCCCTGCTAGAACGCTCCATTATTCGATGTCTTCTATGTGCACCGGAGTCCATCTGGATCGAAGTTGATAGATCGATGATTGGACAGTTGTTCTGGTGCTTCTTTTGTGTAGAGTTGAAAAATGAAAGGCCAGCTAGAGATAAGAAAACATGCTCCTGTTAGTCCTATGTATGTTGTCAAATATAATGTTAATTTGTTACACAGTATTTTTTTTTTCTTTTTTTTCAAACAATCCATATACTTAATTGCATATTCTTAGGAATTATGGCCTTGAACATCATCCCTAAAGACATTGTCAACACTAATTATAAGGTTCTTAATCATACACAAATACAAAAAAAAAATAAAAATGTATGCAATCAAGAAGTATTCAATATATAAACATAATTATCAAATATCATTATCATACCTAGCTAGAAAAATTTCTAATATCACTATCATATTATTCATATCAATGAAATAATATAAGCATAATACATCTTGAAAGGGATCTTAGCTATTAATTAGAAAGATACCAGGAAGAACTAGGCAAGCTTGACGTGGCAGCCATGAAGTCATTGAAAAAGCCAAGTATTATCGCCAATTTGGAAAATTTGTTAGATGGACCTTTATGTTCAATTCCTTTATTAAAATTGGCAAAAAAACCTTTTATAGGGGGCTTTATGATATGTATTTGTTAGAATTTGATTTATAATCCAGTACAGTAGTATAAAATATAAGTATTGTAGGACTTCAAATAAAAATGGATTATCATTTGTTTAGAAGAAGAGTTACATCATACTCCTTACTAAATGTTGACTTAGTTTTCATGATGTAAAAATACAAGTTAACAATGGCCTAAAATTTTCGTTTTTCCTTTTTATTTAATTTGTTTTAATGTCCATCAAATTTCTGTGAACTAAATGATAGATCTTTTACTACCATAACAAATTATTCCTAATTGATATCACAGCTAGCTAGATATCAAATTATCAATATGGCCATAGAATTGGTTGGCGGCGTATTTGCAACTAACGTTGTCCAAGAGTTAATTGACACCATCAAGTCTTTTGCTCATGATCAGTACCACCACGTATTATCAGACCTGGAGATCAAGCTGAAAAATCTGGAGATGAGCTACACAAAAGTTCAGTTAGCGCGGGATCACATAGATGGACGTGAGCTGGTAAACAGCCATAAACACCAAATTTGGGTTGGTGATGCAATGACAAATTGTTACAACTTTGAAGACTTGATGGTAGATTTCGCGCTTAAGACTAGGGAGATGGAAGGTGCCTTGTCTTTCTTGCAAAATTGGTGTATGTCTCAAGAGATGGTGAACCTGCAGTATAATTTAGATTTATTGTCAATAGCAGCAGCGAATAGGCCTCCTAAATCTCTAGCTAGGATGCTGGATGTTACACCAGACATTGATGTGGACTTCAAAAGGATGCGCGACAAGGTAGAGATTGTTGAATTTTTAATGGATGCTACTAATAATAGAAGCTGCAGCAGTAGCAGTAGTAGCAGCGATAACAATCAATGCAAGAACATCATTTTGCGATAGAGAGCATGTTTGGGCTAGGAAAAACGTGCCTTGCTCATGTTATCATGGACGATTTAGGCATTCAACAAGGTTTTGACCACAGATTTGGGTTTCTATATCGGGGGGATTTGATGTGAAAAAGGTCTTGAGTTCGGTGATAGTCCAAGCTTCTCCAGAAACAGAAAAGATCATTCAGGAGCAAGGGAAGCCGCCGCAGCAGAGATTGTTCAGAGACTTGTCTAAGCGAGCAAAAGTGTTAATTGTTCTAGACGACTTGTACAATTTTCCAGATCCACAAGAATGGGAGGTCTTTGAATCATTCCTCTTCAATTCCCCCTTAATGTTCGGTGTCATCATCACTACTCGTAATCCTGAAGTTACCCGGTTAGTTACTTCTCTTAGTACTGTTCCTATGATTGCCTATCATTTGAAAAGGCTATCAACAGAGAACATCCAATCTATCATCCTACCTAATTCTTTGAAAGCGATATCACTTAAGGTAGCCGAAAATCTCTGCAAAGGCTTACTGTTGGTGGCCAATATCATCAGACTTCATATCTCCTCTGTGTCCGAGGACAGATGGTCGTCTATTCAGCTAAGTGATTTATGGGATATGCCCAAACTTAGGGAACAACTTTTCCCATCAATTGAGCTGAATTATACAAATCTGTCTCGAAGTCTAAGGAATTGTTTCTGTTATCTCTCTCTTTTCCCTGTAGACTTCCACTTTCATAAGGAAGATCTGGTACGATACTGGATGTCAGAAGGTTTCATTGAGCAAGAATGTCCAGGGAACACTTATGGTCATGCACGCTTAGAAGAAATTGGAAACGATTGGTTTCACGAGCTGCTATCACGGTCTACAATCATCTAAGACCGTGAACTACAAGTTTACAAAATGCATGAATTTATCCATCGATATGCTCAAGAAGTCAGTTCTTACATTTATTTTCAGTTTAACAAAAAAGTTGATACGTATTGGTCCTCTTTGAACCATAACAGACACTCTTCGATGTTGTATGTTTGCTTTCGTAGAGCACGACATGTATCTTTTGATTTAAAAAAGATTGCATCTTCAATATTAAAGGAAATGGAAAAATCTTGCAAGGGTCTCCGAACACTAGTCTCGTTACATGAGGGTACAAAACTCGCTAAACTCAGTTATGGACTGCTTTGCAAACTACAAACCTTGAGAGTACTTAATTTGAGTAAAACCGACATCAAAGAGCTACCTGGATCGATTGGAAATTTGAAACTTCTACGCCTCCTGGATGTGTCGTCGACAGAAATTGATAAGTTACCATCGTCCATTACCAAGCTTAATGGACTAGAAGTCCTTAAATTGACTGGTTGTTACATACTTGAATTGCCTAAAGATACCACAAAGTTGGCCAACCTATTGCATCTTGAGGCAGATATTAAAACTTTGTGGCGTATGCCTCCTAACATTGGAAAGCTATCTAATCTCCAAACGCTTCCTGCGTTTGTTGTGGGTGATGAAGATGGGTGTCGAATAACAGAATTAAAGGGTATGAGACAACTTCGAGGTTCACTTTGCCTTACAAATTTAGAAAGAGTCGAAGGTGAAGATGAAGCCAAGGAAGCTAAGATGAACAACAAGCAATTCATTAGAAGGTTGGAACTCGAATGGAATAACTATCGAAATGATCAACTACAAGATGATGAAGTCATAGCCGGACTTACACCACATGAAAATTTGGAAGAATTGCAAATAATTGGATTTGGTGGTTCTGTCTTTCCGAATTGGATCAGCTCGATAAGCAAGCTGACGGCCATCCACCTCCAACGGTGTTATGAATGTAACATATTAACTCCACTACACAATCTTCCGTGCCTTAAAAACCTTCATATACAGGAACTGCGCCGCGTAACATACATGAGCTTTCATTCTTTTAACAAGGCAGTAGAGGAAGAAGTGTGTTTCCCATCATTGGAGTCGTTAACAGTTGAAGACATGGCAAGGCTTGAACAATGGGATCCAGCAATGAAAATGCCTCGCCTTTGCGATCTCAAGATCGTGGATTGTCACAAGTTGAGATCTCTACCTGCACTAGATGAGTTCGTTACTTCCTTAACTAATCTGGTCTCTGTAACAGTTGATCATTGAAGTAAATGCAGAGATAGGAAGTAGATGTTATCGGATCGTTGGTGGTGACTGGAAGAAGATCCAATATGTTCCCAAGGTATTCATTGATGGAAGAATGTAAGACACCGAAAACATATAATTTAATGGAGATGTACTCTGTATATTCAATGTCAATGAACCACTGTTATTCGAATCATCAGATTAGTTGGCAGTTCATATTCAAGTATGGAATTAGAAAACAAAATTTTAGAAGAATCCAATTGCAATGTACTGTAATTAATAAATACTTGTACATAGTATATACATATATATAATGTAATTGTTTTAAAAATAAAAAAAGGAAATAATGTAATTGGATCCAAAAAAAATGAAATTTAAATGTAACATTTCTTTATTCTCTTATATCACAAGCAAATAAATTAATAAAACCCAAACTTGATATATTAAGATCTAAGTTTGTCTAGATCCTTTCAGTTTAGAGCTGAATAACACGAGCCTAACTAGCTCGCTAGCTTGATCCAGGCTGATGTTTTGAGGTGCAGCCCGAACCATGATTACGTTGATTTTGGGGTAGATCAAATTTTGAATTTTGCATCCCAAAAACAATCAATATGCAAGTAGCTGGTCCAATTCATATACTATGCACCATTCTCGGCTTCTTAATCTTTTCATGGAGTGCATTGCTTGTGTTCTTATATCGTTTGTTTTTTAACAGGGAATATGACTGAATTGTTGCAAGCACAAGTGACGTTTTTCTTCTGTCATTGATCAAGAACTTGGAGTAAGACACCTTAAAATTCTATATATATATTTTTTGAATAGTAAAATAATTTATTAATAAAAAGTCATACGACATCTACAAAAGAGATTCAGCTTTAACAAATACTAAGATATTGAAATTTTTATATGACATTATTGACATATGATCATTGAATAGGTCATGCTTTCATTGCATTATTATAAATTTATAGATGACATGTTTACAAAGCCTAAGCATTTTTTGATACTTGCACGTCTATTATTAGTACTTAAATATTCTTCCATTTATTTTTTAAATTATAGATCACATTTGACTTTTGTGTAAAAATAAAAAAAAGCATGCGGATGTAGTTTATGCATAGAAGGCACTCAAGGCCTTTTCGAACTCGTACTGTTCAGGAAATAGAGTGCAAAGTAATGGAGCTTATAAATCACAGGAACTCTGACTTACCTAGGGTGGTGGTGGTAAGTTACTTCCCACGATTTATGGGAATTTCTAATTCGTGGGAATTCTGACTTTCCCCATTTTCTCAATTTTATGCTAACCAAACAACGACCTATACTACCACTTTGTGGAAATTCTGATTTTTCCCACTATTTCCTACCAACCAAACAAGTTGTAAGAGTTCATTGCAGCCTTGCAAGTAAAGCTGTCACATTATAAAGCTAAGAGTGAGGGATAGCTCAAGTGGTTAGAGCTTCTTTCTCGGACCCATAAAATTTTGGGATTGATTCTCATCACCTGCCCTTGTGACTCTCTAAACACCAAAAAATGACTTTGGGGTAAGTTTTGGGAGGGAAGTAACTTCATTTTTTTTTTACAAGAGGGAAGAAACTTCATTGAAAGTCCTAGTTGGGTGATAGAAAAAATACACTTTGAATAATTAATTGGCATACGAAATATAATATTCCAATTTTTTCGAAATTGACTAATACCTACTTTTTTTTTTTTTGGAAAGGTTGACTAGTACCTACTTAAAATTGACTTAAGCTATTTTTTTTTTCTTTTTAAATTAATAATTTTATGGAAATTAAAATTACTTAACGGGCCCGTCAACACAGATGGCCACAAATTTATAGATGCCCCTTTATCTCAGCTTTTATTTTATTATTATTATTACCCCGACTTGTCGGTTTGTCGTGAATTCTAAAATTAAATTTTATCATTTATTTTACATTTAATAAATTTGAGTAATCCTTATAACACTAACCGACTAACCCCTACAACATTGATCAACTAACTCTTACAATACTAACGAAGTAATCCCTATAACACTGATCGAGTACCCCTATAATACTGACAAAGTAATCTTATAATGACACATATAAGAAGTTTTTTTAAACAAATAAATAAATAACAAGGTGCACATTGTTGCTCAATGCAAGGATAAGAGGACTATGGTTAAAATTTGACAAAAAAAAAGAAGCTCTGCATAGACTTGTCAAATGCTTTTCTCTCTTCTATTTTTCTTCCCTCTATATTATGTTCTTAAACTATTTTCATATGTAGGAATTACATTAATTATCTTATACAATAACTTATATTACTTCCTTGTGTTGAAATTTTATTTCTTTGAAATTGTTTAATTATCTTATACTATAATAAAATCATTTTTCTTCCTGTGAAAAAAAAGTTTATCCTTTTATCTATCCCCTGAGTTTCTCGCCCTGTCATGGAATCCATGGATAGATCCGATATTACCTCCATGAGAAAGCAATCATTGCTGCCAACAGGGAAAAATGAGTATCTCAAGTCCAAAACAAATGCACAACCTAAACTGAAAGGCACCAATAAGATTTTCCTGCCACAAAGCAAAATCTTAAACGTACATCCTCAATTCATTGAAGTTGAACCTTCACAATTTAGATCAGTGGTTCAACGACTAACTGGGCGATCGACCGGCAACATTGAGGAAGAAACCGATCAAGTCATGCCAGAGATTTTTAAAAAGAGCAAAGCTTATGAAGATATGTTCTACTGTGTTAGAACCTTTAAGAAGCTGGAGTGTCCAGGAGATGTCTCTCAAGAATGCTTAGACTGCTTGGTGTATTGCAGTCTTTTTCCAAAGGATTATGAGATTGATCGCGACACGTTGTTACAGTTGTGGATGGCTGAGGGTCTGATCGAGGAAGAACCTATGGAAGAAATCGCAGCTTCATATGTTAAAGTTCTTTGTGAACATGGAGGGTATATTTCCTTGTTAAGAGAAGACGACGGTACTGGGAAGATATGGTACAGGGTAAACAGTATTGAAATTCCTGAAAAATTTCTTAAAACTTCCAGAATCAGTCCTCCTAGGCTGATTTCTGAAGACCCTACTAGTGTTTTGGCTGTTGCCGAAACAGACTGTATTCATGTAACTCTGCAGCGTCTACTCCCAAAAGATTTTCAGGCTCTAGGAAGATATTCTAAAATTAGGACGATCTTGCTGTTGGGGAAAAATAAGAGTAATGTCAAAAGCGTTCCTTATGATTTCTTCATGTCATTGCAGCATCTGCACGCTTTGGATTTAAGCAGGACGAAAGTATCAGAGCTGCCGAGTTCTTTAGGTAACGCTAGATGTCTGCGTTATCTTGACCTCTCTGAAACACTTATTAAGCGGTTGCCTGAAACCATTGAGTTCCTTCAAAATTTGCAAACACTGAAGCTTCAAAATTGTCCTTGCCTTGTTGCTTTACCAAAATCTACCAAGAGGCTTACATGCCTTAGACATCTTGATCTTGGTACTCTTCGCCCCATGCCTTCCATGCCAGCTGGGATGGGGGCACTATCATGCCTTCGCACTTTGTCAGAGTTCATTGTAGGTAAAGAACATGGTTGCCGCATTACAGAGCTCAGAAACATGAATGACCTTGGGGGTAAGTTTTGTCTTTCAAAACTCGAGAACGTTGCTTTCCCAAAAGAAGCTAAGGAGGCAAACCTCGGCTATAAGAAACGACTCATGTACTTAGAGCTTCGATGGACTGATGATGAGCACCAAGATTGGATTGGAGCCGAATATAAGGTCATGAAGTGTCTACAGCCACACACAAACCTCCAAGACCTTCGGATACTTTGTTATGGAGGTTCAACATTTCCATGTTGGATAGGCCACCCATCTTTTGGTAATCTCACAAAAATTACCATCTTCAAATGTGCAAGCTGTCAAGTCCTGCCATCATTAGGTCAGCTACCTTCACTTGAATCACTCAGCTTAATTGAATTAATTGGAGTTAAAATCATCGATTTTCACTTTCGGAGAGACAAGCTCATTGCTGCTGCTGATAACGAAAACCAGTTTGTTGCATTCCCTGCACTGCAGAAATTAGAGATCAATTCAATGCTGAATTTAGAAAAATGGAGTGACATAGAAAAAATGGACTTTCCTTGTCTCAGAACATTTTCAATCAAGAATTGTCCTAAATTGGTTGCTCTGTGTGAGCTGACAAACATCAGAGCACTAAAACATTTGGAATTAAACCAATGCACCCAGCTCACATCACTGCCAAATGGAGAATTGCCTGCTTCACTTGAAATAGTGGTAATTGAAAAGTGTCCCTTGTTTAACTTCAGTTTTTTTTCCATAGAGGAAAAACAAGATTGGGTTAAGAGTCAGCATAGTCCCAATTCAGCCATATATCAACGCGAAACAGAAATGGGAAGGTCTTGACCCTCCAGCCTCCACAGTGAGTGGCTACTCTTGGTCTCGGGCTGTGGGAGTGATAGCTGATTCATAAATTGTAAAATAGATCTATATAGTTTTTTTTTTTTTTTTTTTTTTTTTTTTTTTTTTTTTTTTTTCATTTTAAATTCAATTATTTATTTTTGTAATTTTTTCATCAAACAACTATCCTCCAATTATACATGGATGCGATGCTGAATTTTGGGTATTATATGATTTAGATCAGATACATATATATATTTTGCATATTATTTGCAGAAAGGTTTCTGAAACATCAGTTCAAATCACAAATTGGATTTTTAAATTTATTTACATAATCCTACCAGTGATTGATAGTTTGAAGAGAGAAATTCTAAGCCTCTAATAGCTTGAGTCATTTATGACTCTAATGATGCCAGTTGGTATTAAATTGTGCCAACAAAAGCAAAGATGGATTTAAAAATTTAAAGTATCATGCATTCTTAGAAAAAACTCAACAAAAAAGTCTCAAAATGACTTCCAATTACAATTCTTAGAAAAAACTCAACAAAAAAAGCCTTAGTTCAACCGGCCAGTGTCTGTATGCGCACAAAATCAACCAATACCTTACGTACGGCCTTGATCTTTTCCCAGTCACCCTGTCCCGGTAAGCAACGTTGTTTCAACAAATCGCATTGTACAATAATCAATGTTTCCATTGACAAAGGAAAACCTCCCTCCGGTAGTGCCTGCAATACAGGGCAGTAACTTATTTCCAACTTCACTAAGGAACAAAGTAAGTGTAGTGAAGGAAGGACACTCAGATTTGGACAATCTGTGATGTTAAGTTCACCAAGGCAAGGCATTTGAGTCGCTTGCAACCCTTCCCACCTTTTAAGTGACATCATATCTTGGAATTTCAGTGACTCTAACGATGGAAATGCTGCAACCCCGCCTCCTGAAAATCGATTGTCAATGTATTCTATACAATGCATTTCCTCGATAAGTAGAGTCTTGAGATGTTGAAGTTGCCCAAGTGCGGGCAAGATGGTACATTGATCACATCTTAGCAAGTAAATGCTAGTTAGGGTACACTCACGACTACTGATCCAACTTGGAAATTGGGTACCACTATATCCTGTTATTTGCAACTCTTCTAAATTTTCATGGGGTATAAAGCCACTGAGGATCCTTTCTGACTGATTGGCTAAGTACTTGTTCCATTCAAGCTCTACCCTTTTAAGAAATGGTTTGTTTCGCAACAATTCTTCCTTAGCATCAACCTCACTAACATTTTCAAGGTTCGTGACACAAATTGATCCTTGGAGGTACTTCATATCCTTCAACTCTGTAACTTTATACCCATTCTTTCTTCCCACAATGAATGCAGGAAGAGTACAAAGATTAGTTAGCTTCCCTATGCTGGGAGGCATAGAACTCAAACTCTTTATGTCAACTTCTAGATGCAGTAGATGAACCAGCTTTCTCATTTTTTTGGGCAATTGGAGAAGCAGAGGGCATTGATCAGCTTTGAGAAATTGCAGCATATATAAGTCAGTTGTAGATGTGGGAAATTCTTGGATATTTGTGTTGGAGACATCAAGGAGCCGAAGATGTTTCAATTTTCCCATCGACTCTGGGAGCTCACTAATATCTGTTCCACTCAAGTTGAGTACTCGTAAGGATTGTAATTTGAGGAAAAGGGTGTAACTCAGTTGGCCAATACTTAGGTGCTCACGTAGAGAAAGAATTGTCCTAAGGCCCTCAGAATATCTTTCTATATCCCTCCATATTCGCATGGGAATACTTGGACTAAGCAAAGACAGATGCCGAGAATTTCTATATTGAGTAGTGACACCATAACTTGAATCGCCATTGACGTTGCCTGATGAACAAGCACCAACAAATTGTTCATCTAGCTGAAGATACATGCCAGAGCCTATCAACCAGGGGCGGAGCTAGAAGGGGACGAGTGGGGACACTTGTCCCCCCATTTTCAAAAAAAAAAATTAAAAAAAAAATTAAAAAAAAAAAATCGCTGGATGTGAACGCTAGAACGGATGAAACGAAGAACTGAAGAAGCACTGCTCCATCTTCACTCGAGTACTCGACCATTACTCCAGTAGATCGACCGCCGTCGGCTTTCCGTTCTTCGCTGATGTGCTGCGACGCTGCCTCAGTCATCACCAGCCACTCAGCCAGTCCAGCCTCTAGTAGTCAGTACTTAGTAGATTGACCGTCCTCGGTGGCTCGGTTAGTTGGTCCTCTGTCCTCACCAGTCACCACTTCACCAACTGCGCGCTGCCTAACCGTCCGACCGTCGGGCCTCGGCCGTCTTCGCTGCATCACATCCATCAATGGTATGTCTTGTTAGCCCTAATTCGAAATCCCCAATTTGAAATCCCCAATTGTTAACCCTAATTTTCAGATTTTAGTTGAATTATTGTTAATTTTAATTGCAATTTTTGTTGAATTTTAATTTTAATTACAATTTTAATCTTAGGTTTTTTTATTATGCAATGATATGGATTGTGGAAATTGATATATATTTTTCAATTTAATTAGGAAATGTCAAATGATTCACCTAATTCAAACAAATCCAAGGCTACTAGAAAACAACCTGATCTTCGACAATTCATGTTTAAAAGAAAGAAACTCCATGAAAATGAGTCCAATAACTCCCCTTCATTTAGCTCCCCTCAAAGTCAAGAAAATGATATGGAAATGGGTGGTTCAAGTCACTTTTATTGAGAAGGATATCTTCTTACAAGTTTCCGATGAAAAAATTATTGATCGCTTTCAAAATATGAGGACTCGAAGGATGAAAGTGTAATTTTAATTGAATGTTTATGTAATTTTTTTTCATCATTTTGACTTGTATGACTAAGTATTTTTACATTTTGAAATTATAAAATTAAGTATTAACCAATATGTGTGTTTGAGTTTTTTTTTTCGTTAAGATTTTTGTCAAATTATATTATATTCATAATTTGTCCCCCCAATTTGAAAATCCTGGCTCCGCCACTGCTATCAACTGAGCATAACGGTGGATTAAATCATGCATTCTGTAGATCTTAGGATCTTGGTCAAAAGGGTGGTATATTTGAAGGATGGATTGGGACAACACAGTGTCGAAGTAATAATTCCCAAGTTCTTCAAAAACTGAATACTCAGAGCAATCAGAATATTGGAACCCTGCAACTTGAGGTTTAACATAGCCCTCAGCCAACCATAACCGAACCAAATCATCCTTTGTATAATCATACACTAGAGGGAAGAGAGAAAAGTAAGGGTAACAATTTTTCAAAAAGATTGAAAAATCAGAATAATTCAACTTTAAAGTCGGAAAGATAAGTTCTCTGAATTCTGGCATGGTCCACAAGTCTTTAGACAGCTTGCTTGGCCAACTATGGTCTTCTTTTAAGGAGAGTTGGTGCCCAATAACATTTGCCACCAATGGCAAGCCCTTGCAAAACTTCTGTGCTATCTGAACTGCGATTACCTCTGACATTCTTCTCCCACAAAACATTCGCTTGTTGACACCAGACAAAACTGCTTTTTTCTCTATGATAGAACCACAATCCTCATCAGACATTTGTTGCAAGTGGTAGGAAGCAGAGGTGATACTGCTAAGAGAGGTAATTGTAGTGGCAACTTTTGGGTTGCGAGTGGTAATTAGAATGCCAAATCCACAGGATGGATTTAGGAGCAGAGATTGAAAGTCTTCCCAATCTTGAGACTTCCTAAAACTACACAAGTCGTCCAACACAATGAGAACCCTTCTTTCCTTGCATAATCCCAGAAACAGCCGTGCATATTGCTGCTCCGGAGGAGAGAGACTTGAGTTGACTTCTTGGGTTTGCTCAAGCTGCAGGTTTAGGATTATTGAGCACAAAACCTTCATCAAATTAAAATCCCCCGAGACTGAAACCCATAATTTGTGGTCAAAGTAATGTTGGATTCTTGAATCATTCTTGACCACATGAGCTAGTGTTGTTTTGCCCACCCCAAACATCCCTGCTATCACAACTACACTGCTGTTGCTAGGATGCAGGAGCCGTTGGATGATATTTTCTTTATCTTGCTTTCTTCGAAAGCTATCATTATCAGGTGCAATCATCGGCTCTTTGTCTATACGGAGGTATGTCTTATCACTGACTCCATGACTTCTTGGAGTAAACTGATCTGATACATTTGTCAAGGAATTCAGTTTATTCTGCAGTTCACGGAGTTTAGAAGACATACCCCACCTTGTCCAGTAAGACCGGATAAATCCAGCATCCCCCTTCTTCCTAAACATCTCAAATTTGAGACATTCAGTAAAATCTTCAACCTCATAACAAGCTCTCCTGATATCCGCTACCCAATCCTGGTGTAGCTTGCTCGATACAAGGTCCCACCCATCTACATTATCAAGCAAGGAGTGGGCTTTTACATAAGTTGCCTCAAGATTTTTGAGCTCTTCCTCCACATCAAAAGAATATGCAAGATGTTATTTTAGATGAACTACTACAAGAGGGGGGGTGAATGGTAGTAGGTTCCAATCGCGAAACTTATGCGGAAATTAAAAACAAAACGTAAAGGAACTTAAAGCACAAAGCAAGTTTTACGAGGAAACCATCCAGTGCCTAACTGGAAGTAAAACCTCGGCCCTATTGGGACTTATAAACAAATTCCACTATAATAGGCAACTCTCCTAGTACAACCTATTACACAGACCTTTGCTTTGCAAGTTCCGCCACGGACACTTGACTCTATGATAGGACACTTCCTACCAGACCTAAGACACTTCTCAGGACCCTTTTTCTCCCTTTACCCAGGAAACTTCCTAGGTGACCCAAGACACTTCTCAGGTTCCTTTCACTCACTGTGCACTCACAGCTACCACTCGAATTTTACCAGATTTCAAACTCATACACAAGCGTGAATTTAAGAGAATTCACAATCTCACCCCAAAATACAAAACACTCAAAACCCTTTTTCCCATTACAAGATCTCATCGAATATCCCTAAATACATATCTATGAATAAAGAGATAAAACTAATATGTTGAACACTCAAGATCTGTCTGGAACTCACTAGACGTACTGTAACCAAAAACCTGATAGGAACTTTGACCAGGAGGACTGACTTAGCTTCGTGGTGAAGGATAAAACCATTAAGCACGACCACTACACTTCGTCAGCCTCAACTTTGAATGAATGCATATGAGCATATTTATAGTACACTCGAATTATTCATTTCATCTTGAAAAAGATAGATTTTCTGAAAAGATAAGTTTAAAAGATATTTTCTAAAAATCAGTTTTCCGAAAATATATCTTTTTGTTAAGAATAAAAACTGTCAATAATAATAAGATAAACTTAGCATAAAATCAGATTTTATTCAAAACTTATCTTTTTGTTTAAAATACTTTTTAAACAATCTTATCTTTTTCCAAAAGGGATTTATTAGAAGATAAATATCTTTATTCAGTAAAACCAAATCCCTAAAAGATATGCACGTATAAGGTAAATATATATATCATTAAAACCGACTTTTAACGACGTTCATACTTAAGTTCCTATTAGGTTCCTGAACTCTGACAGTCTCTGAGTTCCTGACAAGTCAGTTACTCTAATTTCATTGACTGTTTGGAATTCACCTTGGTTCTATATAGACTTGTTCCAGACCGACTTTTATGTCCAACATACTTACATGAATCCTAGAGCAATATACTTCTATTTCTCTGTCTTCATGTTGCTTCTCTGAAACTCTTGTTCTGGAATCCTGTAGTCTTGATATATTCTGGATCTTAGGGTTTTCCCCAGCATTACACCGAAACCAGGTCGTTACAACCCGTTTTGAAGTTCCTGTTAAGAAACTTCTGGAAGTTCCATTTCTGGAACTCTTCTTCTAAATTTACTTGTATCCTCATGGATCCTCTAAAGTTCCTCTGTTTCAATTCCTACTTCAGCCCTCAACGCTTACTGAACCTGCAAACATCACAACACTTATGAAGCTAACATATGTAAACACATGTTTACATAGTTACCTTCATGGTCCCTTAGCCATCATCATGCTTATCAACCATAACACTTATCGTTGTTCTTGTTCCTCTATTGCTTATCCTATATTGCTCAAGTTCCTTACATATATACCTGTCATTACTCAGGTTCCTTGTATCCTGTTCCAAGCATAATTTGCTTTTTCTATGCACAACTTAACATACACGTTAGATAGATAATCATCATTAGTTTATAATCATCAAAACCTAATTGCTCAACAATTTCCCCCTTTTTGATGATGACAAACTATTGATGCTCATCACATATTAAAGGATAATCGTTGTACATTTATTCCCCCTTAGTTTTTCAAGGAAATAACATTTAAACAAGTTAAGAACATACACAAGAACTTAATAGTTAGGAACTTAGCAATACACATCATTTATCAATATATAAATACTTTCAACAATCATGATGTAATAACTTTAGACTTAATTACTGCATACCATAAGCATCATACATATTCTTCCCCCTTTTGTCATTATCAAAAAGGGTATTGTTCCACACGTTTGTTTTTCGTAAATTATATGCACTTAAAGTCATATGTCACACCTACCACCATATAATAAGTAAGTATATACTAGTTAAACACTTGTTGTTCCTAAAAGCCTCAAGGTACTCACTTTTCAAACACGGATACCATTTCCACACTAACTTCCAACTCACAATCCAAAGGCCCAACTTCAAAACCCTTAATTGAACTTGACAAATAAGAAGTTAAAATTCAAGTAAAGATCAGAGCTAAAAAGTTAGAAATGGATTGCATGAATAGACCAATTAAAGCGCAAGCTTAAAGGATATATAAAGAAGCATATGGAACAAAATAAGTAGAGGGAACGTGAAGTGGAATTTGTGCTCTTCGTTTAAACCTTTTGAGATGAGAACCGCCACATTGTACTTTATCTCAAACTCTTGAATCTCCTATTGAACACAACACATATTCATCTTGCCAATTGATAACCAAGTTCCCTTACCTTAACCACCAACTTCTTTGAGGAACATTCTCCATACTGGAACTTAAATAGATTTCAGTTTCATCATAATCAAGTTCCTTCGTCGTTTATTATTGTTCCTTCACTAGCTCACCAAGTATACGAGTACACGACATCAACATAGTCAACATTCTTCATATATAGATACCCAGGAAATTAAATATTTGATCACCCTTTTTCCTTTTCTTTCTCTTTTTTTTTTTATTTTTTTTTAAAGGGTGTCATTATACAAATTTTGCATGCTTTCCTGGAATAACACATTTTAAATCAATGAAGATATTACTCACTCATACACTTGAGTTCCACAACCAGATCTGAACCATTTTGATTTCTTGGTTCCTACCTTATTCCCCCTGAGTCCCTTACCATTCTTCTTCCTTTATCTTCAACTTCCTCCTCAACATATAATCACCATTTTTTATGTTTCATCAAATCATTAAAAATCATAAAAAGATGATCAACAAACTTAGAGCACATGGGAATTAAGAATAAGAAGTAAAAGTGTGTGAACGGAAAGAGGAAATTGAATTGGGTGAATAAGAATCTTCAATTTTCTAAATATAAGACAATTAGAGTATATGCAACACAGACACACAACTTAGAGTTGTAGAATAATGTTGCGATCGAAGATATATGGTGTGGATGCTTGAAAGTTGACTAAAAGATAGGTTAGTTCCCTCTGAAATTTAAACAAGTGAGTTACAAACGGTCTGGGAACTTACCTGTCTTGTTCCACCAAAGTTTCTTCCATTGTTCCTTTGGCAACTTAGGAACTTCGTGTTTGACAGCACCCATAGTTCTATTAAGAGACCTCTAATACTATTAGGCAAGTGAGTATGTCTTTTACAACACAAGAACTAAGTGTGACACATAAACAATAAGCGCACATTCTTTACTTTATGTTTAACATGCATAGGAACCCCAACTTGACATAACTTAAGGGAAAAATACTTTATACTCATGTTATATTTCATCGAGTCTTGTTCCATTAAGCAATAAACAAGAATATGATAAGTCAAGACACAACCATAAGAGAATCAATTCACAAATTCACATATTGCATCCATACCAAAGATATATCAATCCAATTCATCTAATGCCGACATGTGAAAGGAACTTATATCTTATATAGTCTCATATCAATAAAGATGTAACTATTAATACATAGGTTGATATGATGGCTTACCTTGGAGTTCTTGAAGTGGTTATTCTGTTCCTTGATGATTTCGAATCTAATATGAACTTCCACTTCTAACACAAGTTCCATTGTCAGTGGTTAATGCTTAAAAATATATTTTCTTATCATAGATTAGCAAAAATCAATGCACAATGTCTCGTTAGTTGTACCAAAAATATAATTAATGTAAGTAAGTACAACTAATAACTCAATCCATCTTGAAAACAAAAATTGATAATTTTAAAGCTCAATTTTCAAGAAGGAACTTGGATAGCAATCTATCCTAGAGTATGTTCCACATAGACATCTATAACAAAATGTTATACAAAAGACATCCAAGACATCCATGTGGTACAACTCTAATCCCATATAAACAACAAGATAAAATAATGTTCAATTACCTTCAAGTCTAGCTACACGAGCAATAAGTTCCTTAAAAACAATACATACCTTTGTATTGGTTGTTTCCTTTAAGAACCAACCTAGCTTTGTTCCATTCACGTGCCTTACTCAACAAGCTTTTTCCAGAACACCCTTTTTGATCTCCGACCCTTTTTAGGTGTTCTAGAATAGGTTTAGAATGTAATACACACCTTCTTCCTTTTAAGCTCATCGAGTTCCTGTTGCACATCTAATCTTCAAGCTACATCCTCAAATCCTTCAATGTCGTGAGGCTCGGCCTTGGTTACATATGCATATAAGACACTTTAGTTCCATAGTTTGTTGAGATATTGCTGGTCAGAACAAATATTATCTCAGCTCTGGAACTTCGTTGGAACTTGCTTTCTTATATTGAGTTCATTGAACTTTGCTGCATGAGTTGGAACTTAACATCTAAAAGTTCCTCAACATATGTAGCTATCCCTTGCTGTTATTCTTAGTGACATATTTCTTTACTAGGAACTCAGTTAGTTCTACAGTAACTTGTGAGTTCATCTTTATAACCTGTTTGATGGGAACAAACCTGTTAGTCTCAAAATATGTTCACTTATGGCACATTAAACATGATAGTGTCAACTCTATATGTTTTACTAGTCTAGGCGTTTATGGATAAATCGCCTTGGTACTTCTATCATCAAACATCCCTAAGTAGAACATAGGGTGTCTTGTTCATCAAAGATCTATTGCTTCAGTGTTGATGATGTAGCCAGAGACATTGAAAACTATTCTAAAGAACCTGAAAAGACCATTAGTATATAATTTTGTTCTCTTCTTGTCTTTCATGATTCAAAATTGGAAACTTGTTGACAATCCTGTGTTCCTGCAACAAACACTAAACATGACTGGAACTAGGTTCCATTGTTAGATCTATAATCTCATAAGTGATGAATACTTAGCCACATACCCTGTGATAGAAAAGACTTTCAATAAACAGTTCATCATCTCTTCTATTAAGAAAAGAAACCAAGTATTCATTTGCTTTCATTACTTATAAACAAGACATCTCTTTCAATTAGTCTCTACATATCACATGGTAAACATATCCATATCACTAAGATCCAATGGATTAGTGTTGCTTACCATCTACCTGATGTTGAAAGAGAATGTAACATGTGTTTCATTCTCATGCTTCTCGATCTTAACCTGTTTGGAACTTACATGTACATATACCTATTATCGAGTTCCTACTAGGTTTATCAAGCATGAAAAGATTAACATGTTCACAGTTTGAAGCATAGAGGTATCTCATCTTCAATAAAACCTAGAAATGTCAGGTTGTTGTTAGGAATCACCTTGAGATCCACAAATGATGTGTTCCCTTTTTGACTCCCTTCATATGTGACATTTCCACTCTTTATTGATGATGTCATTTTGAAGCCATAAAACAACTAGAGTTACAAGCAATTGAAAACCAGAATGTGCATTAAAAACTTGACAAGAAAAATATTCACAATGGGATAGGAACTTGACTTACTAACTTCCTGTTATGTAGAAATTTTACCTTTCGTGTTAGTATTATAAGTCAAAGTTCTTCCATTGCAGGTTTATAGCAAGAGATACCTTGATTTGGCTATCATCATCTCTTTTGGATCCTCGCTGTCGAGATAATGCAAGTTCCCTCCTATTATAAACCTTCAACTCTTCCATGTTCCTTTTGACATAAAGTTGGAACATGTCCTTCTGGTCCTTTAGACCGTTGTATCTTGGGTAGAGGAACGTGTTGATTTAATCTCAAATTCTTCAACACCTTGTCAAAGTCCCTCATATTATCATTCAAAAGATATAACCTGAAAGTTCACAACCCAAGAGATTCCTTTGTGCCTTTAAAATGTCAGTAGGTTAGTCAAAAGAGGTAGATAAAACCTAAAGCATAAAAGTGTTAAAACATAAAGTTCCTGTAAGAATACTCCCTTTTAGATGTCGTTCCATCAACAAAATGATGAATCTCCAACACGCAGTCAAAGATAATCATCTTAACTCATTATCCTTCATAAGAGTCTGCTACAGGAATTAATGCTTTGTTCCAAATAAGAACTTAACTGGAACTTGAACAAGAATCTTTACAGGAACGTATACGCTAACTCCTATAGCACCTTGATATAGAAGCTTTGTTATTCCTGTATCCCTAATTCGTTTTATCATTCCAAGTTCACCAAGTTCCAACCAATTTAAGCACTGAGCTCCTAATGGAACAAACTTTTACGCACCAATTTGTCTCAATGGACAAACCTACAAAACAATGATTAATAACTTGCACAAAGCTAGAAGAGAAGTTAGTTTGTCATGATATACATTATAAACATCCAAACAACTTCTCTTTTCATCCATTCACAAATAACCTTCATAAGATTAGGGAATTGAATTTCAATTGGAATTTGTGAAGGATTAATACATACCAAAAGAACATGACCAATATTTACAGAGAGATGTATAGGCAACTTACACACTTATTCATGTTGTCGATTCACCTACTACAAACCTCTTATAAAGGCTTTCTAGTGAGAGGAATTTGCACATAATTGCTTATATACAAACAACCAAAGTTCATCATTATTAATAAGTTGTCTCCACTCACTTAGCCTGCAAAATCAGTCATCTTTTGGCTTTGGTTACCCAATTTATATTGGGTACTTTCATGTTAGTAATAGACATTAATAATCCATAATTAAAACAACTACGGTTAAACCAACTATCTTTACTAACAATAAACATCATGTGTCTACATAATAAATATTCAGAAAAACACATACACATGATAAGGTCATTCTTTGGAAAATATTCAAAATATACGTTCATTACCTTGCCCAAAGAATTAAGTTTCCATACAGGGATAATCCAGGTTCCAAGAGACCAAATATGCATAATTCTACATAATACGTTCCTTGAACTATTTCCAGTAAACCGATTCTTTAAAAATAAATCAATTTGTAAATCTGACAAATACTTTTCACTCTATAAATCAAATTTGAGGTTACACAAAATTGATTTGCAAACTTTCAAAACAAAATCCAAAATTTAACTAGAAATACTACAAGGAACTTGTACACATAATGTCATGCATATAATCAAGACTTCAAAGACGAGACACTTACCTCAAAGATGTTCATCTTTGAATCACATCTGCTTCACAAGCAGACTTTGGTCTTCACGTGGTATTCGGAACGTTCTAGGGTTGAGTTCCATTCACTGCATTCCTTGTAGATATCCATCCTAGCCTGGAACTTGCTCCTCGGGGTTACCCGGTTTATCAAGAGCACCCGCTCTGATACCAATTGTTATTTTAGATGAACTACTACAAGAGGGGGGGTGAATGGTAGTAGGTTCCAATCGCGAAACTTATGCGGAAATTAAAAACAAAACGTAAAGGAACTTAAAGCACAAAGCAAGTTTTACGAGGAAACCATCCAGTGCCTAACTGGAAGTAAAACCTCGGCCCTATTGGGACTTATAAACAAATTCCACTATAATAGGCAACTCTCCTAGTACAACCTATTACACAGACCTTTGCTTTGCAAGTTCCGCCACGGACACTTGACTCTATGATAGGACACTTCCTACCAGACCTAAGACACTTCTCAGGACCCTTTTTCTCCCTTTACCCAGGAAACTTCCTAGGTGACCCAAGACACTTCTCAGGTTCCTTTCACTCACTGTGCACTCACAGCTACCACTCGAATTTTACCAGATTTCAAACTCATACACAAGCGTGAATTTAAGAGAATTCACAATCTCACCCCAAAATACAAAACACTCAAAACCCTTTTTCCCATTACAAGATCTCATCGAATATCCCTAAATACATATCTATGAATAAAGAGATAAAACTAATATGTTGAACACTCAAGATCTGTCTGGAACTCACTAGACGTACTGTAACCAAAAACCTGATAGGAACTTTGACCAGGAGGACTGACTTAGCTTCGTGGTGAAGGATAAAACCATTAAGCACGACCACTACACTTCGTCAGCCTCAACTTTGAATGAATGCATATGAGCATATTTATAGTACACTCGAATTATTCATTTCATCTTGAAAAAGATAGATTTTCTGAAAAGATAAGTTTAAAAGATATTTTCTAAAAATCAGTTTTCCGAAAATATATCTTTTTGTTAAGAATAAAAACTGTCAATAATAATAAGATAAACTTAGCATAAAATCAGATTTTATTCAAAACTTATCTTTTTGTTTAAAATACTTTTTAAACAATCTTATCTTTTTCCAAAAGGGATTTATTAGAAGATAAATATCTTTATTCAGTAAAACCAAATCCCTAAAAGATATGCACGTATAAGGTAAATATATATATCATTAAAACCGACTTTTAACGACGTTCATACTTAAGTTCCTATTAGGTTCCTGAACTCTGACAGTCTCTGAGTTCCTGACAAGTCAGTTACTCTAATTTCATTGACTGTTTGGAATTCACCTTGGTTCTATATAGACTTGTTCCAGACCGACTTTTATGTCCAACATACTTACATGAATCCTAGAGCAATATACTTCTATTTCTCTGTCTTCATGTTGCTTCTCTGAAACTCTTGTTCTGGAATCCTGTAGTCTTGATATATTCTGGATCTTAGGGTTTTCCCCAGCATTACACCGAAACCAGGTCGTTACAACCCGTTTTGAAGTTCCTGTTAAGAAACTTCTGGAAGTTCCATTTCTGGAACTCTTCTTCTAAATTTACTTGTATCCTCATGGATCCTCTAAAGTTCCTCTGTTTCAATTCCTACTTCAGCCCTCAACGCTTACTGAACCTGCAAACATCACAACACTTATGAAGCTAACATATGTAAACACATGTTTACATAGTTACCTTCATGGTCCCTTAGCCATCATCATGCTTATCAACCATAACACTTATCGTTGTTCTTGTTCCTCTATTGCTTATCCTATATTGCTCAAGTTCCTTACATATATACCTGTCATTACTCAGGTTCCTTGTATCCTGTTCCAAGCATAATTTGCTTTTTCTATGCACAACTTAACATACACGTTAGATAGATAATCATCATTAGTTTATAATCATCAAAACCTAATTGCTCAACACAAGAGCAATTGTATCAGAAGCTGAAGCTTTGATCCTATCTACTAGCTCTTGTAGTAATGATGACACGACGAACCCAGAAACAAATTCTAATGCCATTATTACGAAAAAATTAAGAGTGAGATGGTTTATTTCACAGAAAGAGAGGCAAGAGAAATGGCTAACTACCCTTGGGATGCTCTCATTTGTGGTGGGAACTCATGAATTTTGGAGCAAGTAAAGGAAAAAGATAGGAACTTTCGGCACAAAAGTCTTTACCTTCTTTAAGAAACTGAAAATGACTAGCAATTACAGCAATAGTCTCTGAGAAAATTAAATGCGGACTTTTGGATCTTTATACACTTGTTTATACCATTGCCATTATTTTATTTTTGGTTTAATCAATTTTATTTTTTTTCTACTTATATATTTTTAAGCGAATCTCTTACAATTACTTAATATTTCGGTGTATTCTTATCCATCAGAATGATTTATAGAATCAAATTTGAATAGTAAAAAAAAATGTTTTTTTTTTTTTTCCTTTTTTGTTTCTCATTGATTACATGTTCCTTTTAACTCTTGTCAACTTTCCAATTGTCTGTTACTTCTATATAATATACTGTACTATATTTTGCATATCAACCAAATGACTATTGTCTAATAGTGTTTCCTTGTTTATTACCTTTCAATATTGTCTATCCAATAAATAAGTAGCTACGAAAGATAAGAAATCCTGTATTTCTAAATAGCCTATATAAAGCCATTGGCCCCACAATAATCAAACTGACCACAAATAACTAATTAACAGACTTGATTAATAAAAACTTGGTGATATAGAACTAATAACTGGTGCAAAAGAGTGACTCTGTGACTCAGCATGTAAAGAAAAAATTAATTGAATCTATGTATTGAATCTATATATTGAATCTATAAATTATATTGAAACAAATTTAATTGAATCTATAGTATTCTGTTGTATACTCAGAAAGACATACCTAAGGTTGAATCACCACAACAGTACTGTGAACTAGTCTGTTTTTGCACCTTCAGTAATCAGTATCAACGTTGTTTTCTGAACGAAGCACCCATGTCAAACATATTAGAACACCACATCATACCGAATTTGATATATTGATCACATTACTGGTGGAAAATTTACCGGGGTTTCTCCTTTCCCTGATATATAGGAGATTCTTGCCATGATCCAATATCAGATTGTACTGTAAGACAAAAGGTAGAAATCATGGAGGTTCTGCAATTAGCATCTCATGAGAACAAAAGCATAAAAAGAATGATTCGTCGTATCAACCACAAGAAGATCAGTATTCTGCAGCTAATTAAAGCAGCCACATGCTGACAGACATGTTACAGCTGACTCAAAAAAACAAATGAAAAACAAAATATCAACTGTATGATATAAGTAATTGTTCAGGTAAATTAGTTCTTGTTTCAGTAAATCAGTTATATGTAGATTTTAGCATCAATATGATATAAATAGCTGTCATGTGACTCAGTCCAATCCCAACATCCCAAATTCCTAACCTGAAGGCCTATTGCCAATTATGCCAACAAACTGAACAACTAGGCATCATACTACCACCAAGGCTCTAAATACATCTAAGTGAGATCTATTCCAAAATCAGTAGAGAAAGCTATAATTTTATCTTTTTAAGCCTATAAGGAGTTATATTTCCATCCTTTCATCTAATGTGGGACGAGTCACATATAACAAACACCTACAGGAACTCTAACACCCAAGTTAAAGCTGCTCAGTTGTTTAAGGAATCACTCAACCCTTTGGGTCCATTCAAATTGAAAAATTTACAGATAGATGAGTGCCTCAATTCCATGTTTAAGACTAGTTTATCTTTGTAAATTGTAATTTAAAATTGATAAACACGACAGTTACTAGATATTATTTGTCAAATGTTTTCCAACAAAGTTATACACCAATCCGTACAATTTTTTCACATAATGCAGTTTATCCGGTTGTTTATCAAGTGGCAAACTTATAACTAAATGGCGTAAATTTGCACTATTTATAGGTAAATCCAATAATAATGTTGGCGGTTTTACCCCAAAGCATTTTATGAACATCTGTGTTTTTCAAGGTGATAAACCTGAGCGATGCACAATTCTTATTAATAAAATTGGTTGTTTAAAAATCAAAAAATTGTGGAGTTCATTTTCTACACACTAAATGGCAAAATGGGCAAAATTGACAGATTTTGACTCAGTCCAAACACATCCAACCAAAATATTGACTTAAGACTTAAAAGTGATTATCTTTTATGTAAAATAGATTAATGATAATGACCCGAACCGAATTATTCAATCGACCAGATACAGTCTATTCCGAATCAAATGTTCCAATTTCCACCACTAACTGAGCTCACATTATCAAACAAATCAAAATCTACATCAATTACTAATAGCACTAATCAAAAAATTGTGCAACATTGTCAAGTTTCACAATCATAAAAGCCATTAAAAATTTAAAGTGGTATGATCACCGAATTATAATCTATTAAATACCATTATCTTAGTTTAATCACACAATTTAATGTTCAAATAAGACTGGAAATTAATTTAATGCTCGAGGGAAAGATTTACCAGGTTAATGCTGAGTTGCTGATACCACCAATTATGTTGATAGACTTCATTCTTTGTATTAGAAAATTTGGGTTGTATTGCATCTATCAAGTTGTATTGAGAAAAGAGAGTTTACATTGAGATAGTACAAGTTTATCACTTTAATTGGATTGAGAAAAGACAGTAACATTAACTACATGTCTTACATCATTTTAATTTTAAGTTTAAATTTTTTTGAAAAATTCAACATTACAACCCTTTAATATTGTATTTTCCATGTTGTAATACTAAGATTTAATTAGTCATCATGTTTAACTTACCGTTATTCTGTCGTTAACAAATTCGTTATGTTGATTGAATTACTGTTAATGGAGCCCACTCTCCAATAATTAATATTTTTTTATCGATATCCGTGTTGTAAAATGTCTCATTGAAGGGTTTTAAGGTCATTTTGTCGATTAAAATTGAACTCGGATTTGGCAAAAAAAAATTCATAAGCATTTGTCAATTCACGATGTCAGCATGACCTATTCTAACAAATACTTCGTAGTTAATAGATGTTTTTATCCCATTATACCCTCGTGATCAGATTTTAATCTCTCAAATATTTAGAGGTGATTCACAAATTAATATACTGTATCAAATTGAAAAAAGAAGAGAAAAATTAGTGGTTTCAAAAAAAAAAAAAAGGAAGAAATTGGTACCTCAATAACGCGTCGGCAATGAAGATTTGGTGAATAATAAAATGAATGGAGAAAGTTTTTGGACGGAGTAAACGAGAGTGAAAATAGAAAAGTTGTCCTTATTTAGTATTATGCGCGTCGTTTTACCGAGGGTGTAGGTAGAGTTCCGTACTCTAGAGTGTAGAGATATATAATTACTTGTTGGGTCAAAGAGGGCTTTTTTCGGACCGGGTTCAGATTTTTAATTAAAAATGTGTTTTAGGCTTACCCAACCCGCCCAATTTTTGGACTGAATTGACCGGGTCGACGTTGATCACCTCTACAAATATCCCAGTGCTCTTATTGATATTCTACATTGATTTTCACCCTCATATCTACCCACCCCTTTATCACTCCAATAAAAACTAATTTACATTGAATGTATATCCCTTTTGACCCCCTCAAATTCAGAAACAGTAATCCATCTCCTCCTTTGTCTGTCATTTCATCTTTATCTTCATTGCTTTCTCTCTCTACCAAGCACCCTAACTCCTCACTTCAAATTGAAGGAAAAAGTTAAATGTTTTTTTTTACTCAAAGTTATGGTAATAATCTTAATCTACATAGTCAGATCTACATACATGATACATTGTCTACCAAGTGGTAATTTTTTTTTTTTTTTTTGGTGTTTAGAGAGCCACAAGGGCGAGTGATGTTGAAGAGTAGACCTTCCAAAAATATCACCACATGTAAGTGTCACACATTGGTTGAAGAAGAGAGAGTTAATCACTTTATAAGGCTAAGGGACTACTCCTCCTATTGCCATGTGGTTTTGGCATGGAACCTTCTTTGGACTTGTGAAGTGGATTCTCTCTCTTGACTTGCGGGTACGGCCCAAACCCGTGTTTAACATGGTATCAGAGCAGGCCCACGATATGGGATCCTAAATGGCTAAAGTCCATTGGGCCAAGAGTAGGTCCATGTGAGGGGGAGTGAAGAAGCACTCTACAAATCACATGAGACAAAGTTCAAAAAGGGACCTTACATGTGAGGTGGAGTGTTGAAGAATAGACCTCCCAAAAATATCACCACATGTAAGTGTCACACATTGGTTGAAGAAGAGAGAGTTAATCACTTTATAAGGCTAAGGGACTACTCCTCCTATTGCCATATGGTTTTGGGATGGAACCTCCTTTGGACTTGTGAAGTGGACTCTCTCTCTTGACTTGCGGGTACGGCCCAAACCCGTGTTTAACAAGTGATGAGAATCGATCCCAGGATCACCTGGAACCGGGAGGGAAGCTCTAACCACTTGAGCTATCCCCCACTCTCACCAATTGGTAAGGTGAAGGTGTACAATCATCTAGGAGTATGGGACTTAGTGATTGACAATCTAGTTGTTCCAACTTGTGCATAAAATTGCTATTGAAAGAGATACCGGAGGAGGAATATAATGTAGTGTGTGGCCAAATGGATGAAGACTTGAAGTTCCATGATCTTAGCATAACATGATGGACTACTACCAAACGCCATTAATAGTGGCACTATACCATACTAACAACTTTAACTTGAATACTACTTGATTCATTGTGAGCTTGCAAAAAGAACCTGATAAACCTAATGATTAAGCTGCCCTGAAAATTTGGTTGCACTATGTGAGCTGACAAAACAGAGCTATAGAATACTTGGAATAAAACCAAGCTCACACCATTATTTCCAGATGGAGGACTTTCTGCTTCACTTGAAACATTAGTGATTAAAAATTGCCCCTTGCTTAGCTTCAACTGTTGCATGGAGGAGAAACAAGATTGGGTTAAGAGTCACTGAGTCAGCATAGTCCTAACTCATCAATATATCAACGCGAAGCATAAAAGGGTAGGAAGAACAGGCTTAAAAAAAAAAAAAAATTGTACATTCCCATAAAAAAAAAAAAAAAAAAAAAAAAAAATTGTCCATCAAGATATTCTCTTTAAGACACAATATTTCTTTTTTAAATTCTCATTTCAATATTCTACCTAAAATTTGTATCATCAATCAGGCTTTGCTAGCTCCAACTATACATGATGTTGAATTTTGGGTATTGGATCATTGAGGCTTCTTAAAATTGCACAAGTCGTCCAACACAATGAGAGCCCTTTTTTCCTTGCATAATCCCAGTTGTGCATATTGTTACTCTGAAGGAAAGAGACTTGAGTTGACTTTTGCTCAAGCTGCAGGTGTAGGATCATTGAGCACAAAACCTTCATCAGATTAAAATCCCCTGATACCAAAACCCATAATTTGTAGTCAAAGTAATGTTGGATTCTTAAATTAAGTCATTCTTGACCACATGAGCTAGTGTTGTTTTGCCCACCCCAAACATCCTGCTATCACAACTATACTACTGGTGCTAGGATGTAAGAGTCGTTGGATGATACTTTCTTTATCTTGCTTTTTTCGGAAGCTGTCATCATTGGGTACAACCATTGGCTCTTTGTCCATAGGGAGGTATCTCTTATCATTGATTCCATGACTTCTTGCAGTAAACTAATCTGATGCATTTGATGAGAATACAGTTTCTTCAGCAGTTCACGGAATTTAGAAGACATACCCCACTTTGTCTAGTAAGACATGATAAATCCAGTATCTCTTCTTCTTAAATATTTCAAACTTGAGGCATTTAGTAAAATTTTCAGTCTCATAACAAGCTCTCCTAATATCTACTACCCAATCCTAGTGTAGCTTACTCTATATATGCTCCCATCCATCTACATTATCAAGCAAGAATTTTTTATTATATTACTTTAATTTGAACAAATAGCAATGATAACAATAGTGAGTGAGAAAATTGAAGGTAGACTTTTGTATCGTTATAATATTGTCTATATCATTGCCTTTATTTTATTTAAGTTTATCTCAAACAGTTACGTAGAATTTATAATTTTAGTGTAACTTTATCTATTTGTATGATAAAATTGGCCAAAATCGGTTGTAATAGGCAATCAGACCTCCTCTATATATAGAGCGGTTTCTTTGCAATAAATAAAAGACCTCATACCTGAGACAACATGTCTCTTTGACAATACTCTCTCCGTTTTTAAATAATTGCTCTATTTCTCCTAGGCACGTATGCCGATGCAAATCTTTAATCAGTTATATCTTTAATTATTAATGAGTATTAATAATCTATTTATTGAGACGATTCCAACAAATATTCACAAAACTATATATTTTCTTATGTATAAATCACTAACATTAGTCAAAATAGAATAGATGAATAGTGCAAAAAATAGAAATGGAGCAAGTATTTGAAAACGGAGAGAGTAATGTTCATAAATCATATAATTCATAAACAAAAGTTAATAAGCACTTTTACAACACAATCATTTTTTTTTTTTTAGAAAATTACAACACAATCATTAAATCTAGTTTGACCTCCAAAAATATTTTACATAAACATTAAATAAATAAATAAATAACCCTAAAATTTTCCTCAAAATTATACACCAAACTCATTAAGCAAATTTCATGCCATCTAATTTAACCTACAAGACATACACTTCTAAAAATCTCTTACTTAACCCAAAAAATAATGGACAAATCAAAATCATTAGGTGATGTCCATACCATCTTCATTTCCTTCATTAGCATTATCTTGCTTAAGCTCGAGAACATACTTAGCCCAAAAGTCTTTAATCATGTCAACATTATCAGTTGAATATCGAGAAGAACTACAAAATATACAACAGATCATAATAGTTATAATTGAATATGATATAGGTATTATGTATTATAACTATATAGATAACACTAGGTAAAAGCTTTTGTTAATCTGTACAGCCAATCATCAACCATGCTATAAACATGAAAATATGAAACCATTTCAATCATTAACCTGTGCAATGTGCAGACGACTAAATCTAAACCAACCGTCTGCTCCAACATGAGTACGACATCCGGCGACATCCATACGGGTGACTTCGTTGCAGAGAGCATCTCCCATTAGGATGGCACATTGCATGTTCTATAAACTAAAAAACAAGCGGCCAAAATTGATTGACCCAATAAGGGCTAACTCATAGTCATTTGACATGAACAATCTAAGGTGAAACCTAAACGGCATAATATAACCGCATGTCTTATTGACACCAGCCGGTAACCGGTCGTCATTTCAACTAGGTAATCCCCCAATGGGTAAAAGGGATGTAAGAGTATTTTCATTACAGACAACCCAGACGGAGAATAATGTTTTTCCTAGCTTAGCAAACTAGGTAATCTTTAGCACCGTCTGGATGCTAAAACTTATATCGCCTGAATCTTGGGCGGCTATGCTCTTGATTTGGGGTAATCATTGTAGTGATTGATTGACTAAGGAACTTGTCATACTCTTAAAAGTATCAAAAGTCCCTGAGCCAATCAATCAACCTATTGAAACTAACCACACAGCCGCCCAGAGGTAAAACGCCAGTCAGTTTGTTAGTTGCCGCATGCAATTACTAAGTTAGGCAATATCGAAGCATGTATATAGCAAAATAAATAAATCACGAATTATAAAAATTGGAAGTGAAAAAATTGTCAAAATTGTCAAAACCGACTCAGTTGGCTACTTCATTAATAACACCCGACCTAAAGGCCGGGGGAGAAAATTGTCATACCGGATCCACATCCGGGAGAAAAAAAAAAGCTTGTTGAAAATACATTCAAATACTCAGCTCGCAGGCCGAAAATACAAACGAAAGAGAAATGCTTAACTCTGTTGATTCCGTTGAGGTGGGGGCACCTACTGGTCATGGCCAGAGGGGAGCTCATCTCCTGTTTGCCTTGGTTGAACTTGGTTAGGGTCAGCTCGCCCTAGCCCTCTTCCTGTTCTTCATCAGACGGCTCAATGCCGACCCATTCGTTAAACGGAGCCGGTTATGGCAGACCTAGGGTCTGGGCATCGTATACCTCAGTGCCATACTTGTACTTCAAACTGAAGTAGTCCCAGTCAAAATTTGGATGGATGAGGTTCCACACTATCTTCATGCGCTCCTAGCAATCTTTTTCATTCTCATCCACCAGCCGCTCTTACTCTGCCTCGAGCTCAGTCTTGTACTCGCCCCGCATTCTGGTTATCTCGTCCTTGAGCCGGCCAACGTCTACTCGGATCTCGGTACGTATTTTATTTGTCGGCATCCTCCAAAGCCTTGAGATCCAACTGAGCATTTTTAAGCTCGAGCTCGAGGTCAGACGTCTTCTTGTAGGCCGTCTCCAGGGCAACCGTCAACTCCTTAATGATCTCCTCCTATTTCATCTCCCTTGCTTTTGACTTAATATCATTCAAGGTAGATCGATATTGAGCAGAGTTAAGGGCTTTAGTCGCCCTTTTATTGGTGTCTCTTACCTTCTCCTACTTTTTGTTAAACGGAGTCTTGAGCCCGTTTTGTAACACCCCAATAATTCACTCTTTAAAACCTGTAAATACTTTTAATAATCTGCGAGAGAATTACTGACGTGCTACCGCCACGTGTTCAAACGTTAAGGCTAGTTCAGAATTTAGCAGTGGAAAAACTAACTCAGTTATAAATAGGTTTCCGAAAACAATAATCAAAACAAAATTTAGTCTTACAAGCTGGAACCATTATGACCCTTATTCAAAACTCGTTAAAATAGTAAGTAAATAAAATTAGAGTCAAAATGAATCCAACTTATGAAATAGAATGAAATGAAATAAACTGTGTGGTTAACCAACACTCCACTCAAAATCCCAACACCTTGATGCAAGTTCGGATTGGGTAAAACCTGTGATTAATCTGCTCCCCAATATTACAAGTGTAAAAATTGGATCATTACAGGGTCATTGAAAGGCGAAGGCCATGACCAAGAAAAGACACACAAAAGCACGCAATCAACAACGCTGAGTACATACAAGCTACGAAATATAGCAAAGAGTCCCTAGCATGTTACTAAAAATCAATCTGCACACACACAACATAATCATTGACTCGAACACATGACTCAATTGTTAACATTACTAAGACTTCACTAATTAATAATAAATAATTCATTTCATTCATTGATTGGATTAAGCAATAGACCAGGTTGTCCCCCTATGCTCCATTTCGGAACATTAATAAAAGAAAACCATATGCCTCCTTTCGGAAACATTAATAAACACCCAATGGCAGACGGGCACGACTCCGTGGCCATAGCTAGTATGAGATCTCATCTAACTCATTATAATTTTAAAAGTATTTGAAAACAAGAGACTCGTAGATCAGACGGCCTCTGAAAAGTACACGGTTAATACCCCGTGAATCTCAACCCCTGTTTGTCATTACTCTAGATGTGCACAAATCCAGAGTTTTATTGCTCATCCTTCTTGCACTTTACGTGATTTACCAGTTTAAACTTGGTGATGACTCAAATGCAGAACAACACAACCAATCATACATCAATCATTCAAACCATTTAAGTTTCCAATTCAATTCTTAATTTATTAGTGACAAACAATATTTTATTATTGAATCCTTTAACTACCTTGGTGTATAAACACCTTAAGTGCATAAGGCACCTCGAATCCTCAACCTCGTCTTTTAAGACTTTAATACTCCCTTTACTAATTCTGTTTCGGAGTTTTTTGATGTCCTGCGGGAGAGTTACAATTCCGGGACTGGTATCTTTGCGCCTGTACCTGCAAAACAACGGAGACTCCGGGTGGTGGGAGCTCCGCCTCCGACGATCAAGTTAGTACTTGTGTGTGGAGTAAAAAAGGTGCGGAAAGTAAAGGGTGATCTCACTACTACATTTTTAATCTAATACAACGGTTCAAAATTAGCTAATACAACGGCCAATTTCATACCGTTATATTAGACTAGGCTAATACAACGAATTATACTAAAACAGGTCTAATACAACGGTTTATAAGATATACTAATCCGTTGTATTAGATGAGCTAATCCAACGGATTATTCTTCTAATACAACGGATAGTGTTCATTGAGCTAATCCAACGGATCAACCCAAAATAAAAAAAAAAAAGTGAATAACACCTAATACAACGGATGGTTAAAAAAATAAATAAATAAATAAACAAGGACCTAATCCAACGGTTTTGTCCAAAAATAATATAAAAAAAAACCGGGAAATGGTGAAATATTTTAGAGGCAAAAATAAAATTGAAACCCATTAAACTTCTCAATTGCCCTCGCCATTGCACGCGAAGACTCTTCTCAGTCGCCCCCTCGCCATTGCTGCTCTGCTTCGTTCTCAGTCGCCATTGCAAATAATCTTCTCATAAGTAGGTCATTGTTGCTCGAATTTTCGTATAGCTTGAATTTTGAATGGTTTTCGATTTATGAACCCTAATTTTTTTTGGGGGTTTATTTTCGTATACCTTGAACTAATTTTTTTCTTGTCTTTCAATGGTGGCCAAGAAAGAGGAGAGAGAATTTGGCTATTGCTGCTGCTAAGACTTTCATTGCTCGAACATACACCCTCTCGCAACCTTTCTTCTTATCTCTCTACTAATTCCTCCTCTGGTAAATTCCTTCTCTTTCTTTGATTTTTTGCAATTCTTTTAGCTAATTTTGTGATTTAATTTTGTTCAACAGAGAAAAGTTGCAATTTGGATTCTAAAATCTGTAATTTTTCTAGTTTTGTTTGGATAATTTTATGGTTGGTAATTTTTTGATGATTTGTTGAGCCGTTTTAAGCCAATTTTATCAAGATGAATTAGATGATTGTATCTGTATTTTTTTTTTTTGGTATTATTGAATTATAATAGACGCTCAATTTTCAGTTAGAGTGATGGTATAAAGATAATTGTTGTATGGTGGTGAATAGTGCATATAACAATGACAATTTTCGTAATTGAAAAGGCTGGTTGATAGAGTAACATTGAAAATTATGAATTAGTACTTAGGGTGTAAATCATGGCTTGGGTTTGTGAGTCATAATTTTTTAATACTCTGACATTATTTTGTTATTAACAAAATATATTTTCTGTTAACTTGTGATAGCATGGAGAATTGCCTAGATGTTAGTGAAATTATATTAACTTTTGAGACTTTTGAGTTTGTCTTATTAACTTGTGATAACAAGACCATCAATAACACTTCAGACCATGATCCAAGAATGCTTGCAGCAGGTTTTCTAAGGTATGTGGCTAATTATAAGGTGTATTTTGCTAGAGTGTTTGGGAGAGTGAAGATTAATAACTGTCCCCCTGCTGGTGTAGTGAAGATTAATACTGATGCTGCGATCTTAAATGAGAAATAAGTTGGCTTGGGATTGGTGGTTAATGACTCAAATGGTGCTCTTATTGCTACTGCTGCAAGACGAAAACTGGGATCCAAGTGTTGCCAAGGCTGCTGCTCTTTGTTTGGGATGGAGCTTGCACAATGTCTTGGCTATACTAAAGTGTGTTTGGAGACTGATACACTGAGTGTGGGTCAGGAAATTGAGAGCAATCAACAGGGATACAACTATATTCATTTGTTTATTGATCGTGTTATTTGTATGTTTAAGGAAAAGGGAATATATTAAAACTTAATAAACCACAAAGAGTTTGAGAGATGCTGCCATAGCAACTCCATTAACCAAGCCAAAACATCGTTTAACCAAAGCCATAAAACAGATCCAAACCAAAATACATAGAAGCACAGGTACCATAAATTGAATTTAAAAAATTGAATAGATAACAATAATAGACACAACAACTATCAAGAAGCACAGAACAAGTAAAGAAAGTAAAAGAACACAGAAGAAAAAAAAAATGGCTAAAATTTAAGGTTTTCAAGAACAAGGGATTTTAATTCTATCAAAAAGCTTTTAATATTTCAAAGCAGTAAGAACTATTCTACAAACTTTCTGCCTTTTGAGCTGTTTTAAACAGGCAAAAGATACACTTTCTTGTTAATTTTGACTGTGAAAGTGTAAGGGGGAAACTAACTCAAGACATTTGGATAGACGTGCTTTCAATTTGACTATGAAAGGAATGGGGAAAACTCACCACCTGATAATTAGATTAGAAATCTAACCTAGTTTCACCAGGAGGGATGGGAATACAACCAAGCAACCCAGTGGCTTCATATATCTAGTTCATGTATAATAGTAAATGACAAAAGGTAGAGAGATTGTAATTGTATTTTTTTTTTTTGAAAAAAAAACATACACCGTACTTCATGAAATTTAAATGTTGGTTCGATATCCCTTTGTACATAAACTGATAAACATATAGCCATACACACATACAGAGTAAAAACTCAAGCCGAAGAAAGCATCAATATGATACTTTTCTTATTTATTGACATTACTTTGGCTCAGACATTGCTCATAATTATGCTGCAACCTTTGTTCTTTTTTATGTAAATCTGTTTGGGTGGGCGTATTTGGACAATTTGCTATAAACAGAACCCAACAGGCAATTCGCTTATGTAGCTTTATGCAATCCGAACTCTTTTTTTGCTCCTTGATATATCATTCGGCTCTATGTTCTGTTTTCTAAATCTTACTGTGGTCTGTGCTTTGGATTTCCTCTGTTACCGAGCTACTGTCCTTGCTTTTCTAGGTTCCATGTTCTTGATTATGTTCCCTTTATCCAAAAATGAGTTAGATGAATTGATCTTAGGTGCACTGACGAACTACAACGTTCTCTATCTTAAAATTGGAATCTTGAAGCTATTTTTGGCCTGTTCAATTTCCATGACAGATGGACTGAATATCTTAATGTACTCTTTTGCATGAATAGATACCTAATACAACGGATTCATCAATCTGTTGGATTAGGTCCAATTATTCCCAAAAAAACAAAAGGGAACCTAATCCAACGGATTGAAGAAACCGTTGGATTAGGTATCTACCTAATCCAACGGATTGCTCAATCCGTTGGATTAGGTCTATTTTGCCGTTGTATTAGACCTAATCCAACCCTTGCAAATGTGACGGTTGGTAACCGTTGTATTAGGTCTAATACAACGGTATTTGACACCTAATACAACAAAAAAAGCCGTTGTATTAGCTCTTAAATGTAGTAGTGTCTGGTTTCTCTAGGGGAGAACTGATCAGGAAGTGCAATTAATTGCTAAGTCTGGTCTAGCAATCAGAAAGCACGTGTGTTTTGGCTTCTCTAGGTGAGAGTAATTATTTCTGAATGCCCCTTTAATGAGGATTAATAAATGTATTTATAGTCTTGGGAAGCGTGCCAATCCTAGGTTTAGGTCAACCTAGGCCTGATTGGGCTTCTTCCGGATATTGGGCCTAGATGGCCGTTTTAGCTGGCAGAAATCATGCCACGTGGCGTGACACGATTGGTCCAAGGTGGACCGATCACTACTTGACACGTGGCAGGCTATAATTGGTCCATGTGGCGGACACATGCATGGCAGGGCCTGATTGGTCCACGTGGCAAACCGTGATTGGGCGGGGAAAAATCCCCCAATCACATTTCATTCCAATAATAATGAACGAATAATAAAATAGTGCATTCCACATATTCATGTACCTTTGCCTCTAAGCTCGTCTTGCAAGTTATGGCATATATAATACTTACAAGAAAAATCAATACACATTTCTCATACACGAATCAAACCAAACATCACAATCAATCAAACTCACTACCAAACACTTTCGACCAATCCACAAGTTTCCTAACATGATTCTAAGTTTCCAAGACCTTATGCATGCTCCTAGAGTCGAGGTTTTCGTATCCTTGTATGTACCTTGAGTACACGAGTTGGTTGGCCACTTTAAAACTAGAAGTCACCTTCTACGAAGTCCTCTCCTAAACAAAACAACAGTAGTTCAATCAATACCCAAGCAATATGATTTACAGCAATACTAACTTACTTTAAAAACCCCTTAAACCATTGAAATAATGCTTTTAAATTACTCACAATAGTCAAAGTTAACAATTCAATAGTTCAACTATAAGCTTATATGTTAAAATCATGAAAATATAGCTTATAACATAAAATTCCAGCAACTTTAAAGTAAGGATTATAATCTGAAAATTTAGTTTAAGAATATAAAACAACCTCATAAACATATCTACTTGAAATAATCATTATATAGTAGGTTAGTATGTTAAAAACCTAAAAACCCATCATAAAACCATGATTTAAACCTTTAAAACCAAGATTAAAAATCTGAAAGTTTAATTTAATAGTAGAATGTATGAATACAACAATCTAAACTTGAAATATATAATTAGAATTCAATTAGTTTCATAAAAACTCAACTAAACCTTCAAAATTCAATTAAACAACACTTTAAAACCTTCCTTTTTGCTAGAATTAAAAGCTTATATATTATTCTTAAAATTTCCTACATAAAAACATTAAAAATACATACTTATTCATAAAATTACAGCAAGTTTAAAGCTTTATAAAAATCTGAAAATTTATTTTAAACATTAAACCTTCGTTAAAAATCAAAAACTGCCCGAAAACCATATTTAGAGGCTGATTAGAGCGTCGTTTACACACGAAAAACACTATTTGTTTGCAAAAATCAGACGAGTTAGAGTCAAAACGTGATTAAAACATAATTAAGAGAAATTACGAACGGAATTCAGAAATTAATTATGAAAAATTTAGAACTTGCTGTTAAATTAAACATCATCATAATCATAGCAAAATCACAACAAAATCATGCTCAAATTGAATAACTTTAGCAACACGTTTTTAAGCCCTAAAACCATGAAAATCAAGTTTTAAACCCTAATTTCTTAATTAATAAAATCTGAAAATTAATTATATGCTTAATATATTATAAACTCAATAGATTTGCAATCCTTCACAATGTATATATATAATCAAATCATGATAGCAAAAATCATAGAAAGTTTAAATATTTAAAGCATGAGTATTGAAAAGAAAGGGAGGAAGATTGATGGGCTACTAAACCAATGGTGGTCTCGACTAGATACGGTGGCAGCAGGTGGCAAATTCCGGCTGAGGGCAGGCGGCAGTGAGGCGGAGCAGCGGCAGAAGCAGCAGCAAAGGAGAAGTTTTTTTTTTTTTTTTTTGTGTTTGATCGTGAATGCAGTAGGACTGTAGGAGGGGTTTTGTTTTGTTTTTTTTTTTTTTTTTTTTACGTGAGATTAGAGGGGGAAATAAGGGTTTTAGTTTTTCTAGTTCTAATAAAACTAGGATTAAGGTTTGGGCTTAAAGTAAGTGGGTTTTAGGTAAAAGAATGAGTTTAGTAATTTATGGGAATATGCATGATTACAATATGGGTAGGGTAATAATTTAATGAAATAGTTTTATTAGTTTTATAAACATTAAATTTATTTGCTTAAATCATAGTAAAATAATTTATGTAAATAAATAACTATAATCAAATATTTACAAAAATATGTTAAAATATAATTTTAAATTTCACAAAATTACGGGGGATTACACGTTTACCCTAAGCATTGCCTGCAAGGGTACAGGCGGGAAAGAAATGAATTAGTCGGCATCCTGATAAAAACAAGCACTTAAAGAAATGACGGTGACAAGTTACCTCAGCCAGTACGGCGGTGATGCGTTCCAGGTTAACTTGGTGCAGCCCAGGAATTAACTCCTTTTCGGACCGGGAGATAGTTCTCAGCATCCGTTTGGAATACTGCTGGACGTTCGACCATCTTGGAGAGGCATCTACACCGTAAGAAGGATGTGGTGAGATAGCAGCATAAGCGGCACCTATATTATGTCGGCTGTTGGACGAATCCCTTGACTAGGTAGGCTGAGATTTAACTCGCATATGCCCAAGCGGTCATGGGAGTTCAAAGCAGTAAGTCATACCTTGAGGTTCTGGCTGAGGGGTCTCGCCACCCCCAGCCGCTGCAGAACCGGATGCAGCGTCGAGTGGCACGCCACTCTTCAGCGCCTTAGGGACCCCGACTCTTTGCCGACCAAGTCGGCGTTTAGGCTAAGATCTTTTAGGCTTTTGCCTCCAGAGGTTGGTCGGTCTTGTCTAAGCGGCAAGGAAGATGCCGTTTGGGTTGCCTGAGCCTTCCTAACTTTAGAAGCACCTTTTGCAGATTCCTCAGGCTTCCGCTTGATCATCTTTGTGATGGACCTTGGAATGTTCTTGCTTCCATTTTGAAAGTGGAACATATGGGTTATAGCCGGTGAAATGTCGTCTGAAGACTATGAATATGTTTACACAAGTTGAAGGATACAAGCGGAGCTTACCCCATCATTTTTGGCCGCTAGCTGGGCTTTTTTCTTTTCAAGCTGATCTTTCCGGATCTGGGATGCCGATCTAGCAGGCGCCTTCGCAGTGTCAATCATTTTTAAAGCTTTTTCTGCAAAAAGGAACCGGTTGGTTAGACACAAAACAATAGGGGCGACATCAAAACACCGGTTAAATGGTCAACGTACGTCTCTCAAACATGGTACTAAGACCACAAGCGGAGAGGAACGCCTCGTCTTTGAGCCAATCCAGATGAGGTACCTAATTTTTGGGTACAATTATTTCTGTGCCACCATCTAGAGGCATGGAGGTTTTCTTAAAGTTTTTTTTCTCCGGCTCTATTATCTGTGACCAAGCCTCCTCGGGGATATGCGGAAGGGCGCACCTCTTCCTCAAGAGAGTCGGCTTCTTATTATACCGGCGGAGGAAATGATTTTGACGTCTGGTTGGAGAAGAAACCAAGTAGAACTTGCTCTTCCTGTTGCTCCACTTAGACGGTTTATCCAGCATCATCATATACTTCGGTTGCATGGTCAAAGTATACAACGCCCTCCAACCGCCTCGAGCACGGCTTAAGTAATACACGTGTGCAAACGCCTTCAAGTTGGGCTTTATGTTTTGCATCTCGCAGGCGGCGATATAGCAAAGAATGTTCACCCACGAATTGGGGGTGAGTTGCCATACGCCTATCTCATCATAGCCCCTTATAATAGCTTTAATTCCTTCATGAAGGGGAAAGCGGAGGCCGACTCTGAATGCCGCCTCATAGAATCCAAAATAATTATCAGCATGTTCAATCTCATCCTCCCAGACAACTGTTGCCTCTGCAGGCGGCACAATTATTTCCCACCTATCCCCAATTGGGAATTTGTCTACGAAGGCTAGAAAGCTTGCTTCCAAGGTAATTCTATCCCTAGCGGACATATGCGCCTCAGTCGGGTTGTTCTTAGATGGCCACGAGGACGCCTCATCCTCCTCACAGTCGACATCCGCCTGCAGTGAGCTTGACTCCTCAGAGTCGGATTGTTGGACGGCCTATTCGCCATCTTCGTGATCAAATTCATCCAAAATGTTGTCACTTGGAGCGGTGGGTCATGTTCTCTATTAGTCGGCGCCTCAGCTGAGCCGTCTGACCTATAATCTGGGTCAGGTGTCGTCCACATCGTCCAAGCCATATTGTCGTGCACATGCACAAAGACGGTCGAATTTGGGGAAGAGCAAGGGTGGTCCAAGCACCCATAAACGGCACCCCCAGTCCAAGACTCGGCCGTTCCAAGAGACCGTTGAATACTGTCCTATGTGTCGTGTGTGTTGTGGGTGAATCCATTATTCAATGCGATATATACAAACGGTTAAAAGCTTGAAAGAGCTGAGAAGAGGTGAGACGGTTACCTTGAAGGTTGTAGCAAAGCAGTCTCAAGCGTTGACCGATTGTGTCAAACGGAAGTAACAGACAGAAACTTTGTGAAGATAAATGCAGGCGGATACCAGAGTCTCTCTCTCTAAAAAACTTCTCTCTTTCTTTCTCTAGACTTTTTAAAGGGTCAAAGATGAGGGGAGAAGGGGGGTAAAAGTCTATTTATAAAAGGGGTAAATTTAGGGGCATCCCTGTAATTTTCCCAGAAGGTGAACAGTTAAAGACCATTCACTAATGCCAAGTGACATGTGTTACAGGCACCATGTGGCACGCCATGTCACCCCTGTGAGGGGTAAATAATTTGGTAAAAATACCCATGTTACGTGGCCCAATCAGAATGGGATACGTGTCATCCCAAGAAAGGTCCAAAAAAAGTCACTCACCAGTTGAAACGTGGCACCCCCAATCAGCAAGGAAAAAGACGGCCTTCAAGGCCTAATTCTCGAGAAAGCCGTAAAACGGCGCAGCCCACCAACTCTAGGTCAGAATGACCTAGATAAGGGCACATGTACCCATGATCCTATAAATAGGGAGATTCCCCCCATTTTGGGACACGTTCATTCTTACACACAATCAATTCTCTCACATCAGAGAAAACACCTGATCTCGGGATCTGGGAAGATCTACTTTTACTTTCCGGACTTTTTACATCACTCCGAACACTTTCTAACTTGATCGTCGGAGGCAGAACTCCGAACACCCCGGAGCTTCCGTTGTTTTGCAGGTACAACCAGCGGGAAATCAGTCTTAATGACGTAACTCTCCCGAGGGACAGAAAAAACCACAAAACATTTGGGATACATATATAAAAAATTACTATAGGTTTTTTTTTTTTTTTTGAAAGATACTATAGGTTTTATTTTATGTATGAGCAAATAAAAGAAATTAGATTATTTTTTGTTATTACAGATTGTTGTTGAATGTGTATAAAGTTAAACATTAAATTTTCAAGTTTATGAATATGGTTAAGTCTTTTTAACAAAACATTATAGACATAAGATGTGTTATTGGAGTAGTGTTTAAAGTTAAAAAAAAAATGAGCATGAGGTCATCATGGGTTCGATTATTAATGTTAAATAGGTCATGAGCTTTATGAGAAATAATAGAATACTTTTAGAACAACTTTTACCTAAAAAAAATTAGTGTATTAAAAAACAAACTAAATATGCTTTTAACGGTGTAAAATACATTTTCAGTAATACTTACTAGTAAATATATTTTTTTTTTCTCGATCCATATGAATAGATTATGTCGTCAAATAGGTGGACCCCACACAACTACTTCTCTTCTTCCTTTCGCCCTCCTCCTTTCTCTCTTCTTCCTTTCTCCCTCCTTTTCTCTCTTTTTTTATGTACTTTTACTCTTTTTTAATATTAAACATAAATAGTACAGAGTAATATTACAATTATAACCTACTAACATTCAACCAATGCCTAATAATTAGGCATTAGGACTTCCTCAGATCCTCGCTATATCTCTACTATCTACGCTGTGGGCGTCCTGTATTTCATTTATATTGACTTTCCTAATATCAAAAGCAGTTAACTTCTTTTTGATTTAATGTCATCAACAATCCGCTTGATCTCCCTCTTCGGCTGGTCAACTTTGAGTAAAGCTTTAACTAAGTTCGTTAAGTTAGTTAGTATGGAGATACTCTTTCCTTCCAGATTTATAGTTTTCATATAAACCTCAAAATAAATTCATTAGCTGCATCTCCTGAGTGAATTCCCCCAAACATGTAGCTAGATGTTCATACTAAACAAGTGAATATTTGCTCTTAATTGGATAGAGTAAAGTATTCTCTAATTGCAACACCTCCCGTGAACCTGTTTAGGCGCTCTAGTAGATAATGAGCAGACATTTTAGGAAATAATACGAGTGTATATCTTACAATAGCAGATGAATGTCATGAGGATTACCTTCTAGGAAGGATATTTTCATGCACTCTAACAATACTTGTTACAACATTAATAAATACGCAGTGTTAGCATAAAATAAAAAATAAAAAAAATAAATAAAAATATATATATATATATATATATATATATATATATATATATATATATATATATATATATATATATATATATATATATATATATATATACATACATACGCGGTGAAACTCCAACATAAGAAAAATGCATGTAGTATCTCCAACAGAATACTTGTTCAATTGCTGCAAAGAATCCCCAAAGCAAAGATGTATGGCTCTTCTGTCCAATTTAGGAGCTTCACCTATTTTTGTCAAAAGGGAGGCTCGGTTGATTTGGAAAAGTTTTGACAATGAATTAAGGGATGCTATATGGCTTGAGACTCTTCAATTAAGAGAAATAATCTTCATCAGTTGCGAGCCAGGACAATGAAGGTTGCCAATCAAGCTAGCTGCTACATACCATTGTGTAGGGATCGGAAGAGGTCACTACGACTCTCACAAAATCACCAACTCAAGACAATCAACCAATAATTCAAACAAATCAACCCAAATTATTTCACAACTAAATAACCACACACAATATCAGCAATAATACAGTAGCAAAATAGCAATAGCACCAACAATACTAGGAAGAAAAGATAATAATCAACACACTAGACTTTTACGTGGAAAACCCCTTCGATGTGAAGGATAAAAAACCACGGGACCGTTAAGGAGTCCACCCTAACTTCTCTTATTGATAATTGAGGGTAAAATAAACCCAAATCAGTCTACAAAAGGTTTATACACCCACCAACAACAACAAACAACAAGAGATGAAAAATAGAGAACAAGAGGAGTAGAAATCACCCAAAAACAGCACTTCTGTCCAAGGACGATTATGACCAAAACAGAGCTCAAACGACGATCTCCACCGTCAAAAATGAAGCCCTTGATGTCAGGAACAAGCTGTCAAAATTTGAGGATGATCCAACGGTTGAATTTCCGGCAACAGCCAGATCTGTAAAGGCTGTCCAGAAAAACCGAGAATGAAACTCTCTCTATTTCTCTCTTTTGTGTGTTCTAATTTTTGTGAATGAATCCTCTCATCACTTCACTTGGCTGCTGCCCTAATCTCACAAACATTTTTTACCCCAAAGCTTTCTAAGAAAGCCACCAAAAAAAAATAAGCCCAAAAGAACTTACTACTAACTAGTAAAAATGTAATAAAAATTGACCAAGTAAAAAGAGCCAAATACAAAAAACATTTTACCACCAATTGGGCTGAACCCATAACACATTGCACATCTCTTGGACACATAAAGAAAACAGGAAAGTGACCAGTTAGCACATATTGTTTTTTCTTAATATTTAGGAACTAGAAATAAAAAAAATATTGAAAGTAATCAAACTAAAGGCAACTTCCGGATTGTAACTCAACTAATCTCAAATTTCATTACATAATACATATTCAGTAAATTACAAAACTCTCAAAAGTAAAGTAAAACAAACAATTCACTCGCACTTTGATAGCTCGAGTATGTATTAATTGTATGATAAAATGAAGGCTGTAGCAACTCAACTCAGCATATCAATACATTGCCAATGAAGATCAATCACACAACAAGAAACAACCGAATAACAGAAGAATATGTCTTACGGATTATTCATACAGTTCAAAATTGTCCGTTTAACAACCTTAACTAGGCAGTTCGTAGCTAGATACACAGCTAATAAAACTGCTAATACTGGCTACTCCTAACAAAATTCTTATAACAGTAGTCCAAGCCAAGCCAACCAACAAACTAAAGTGTTAATACTATCTTTATACTTATTTAGGCATTCGGGTCCATAGCTACTGCATTTGGAAATCTTGGGGAAAAAAGTGGGGGACAAGCAACTTATTGTTTTAAAATAGATCATTGAACTATAAAAAGAATCATCTTGGGAGGATCAAGCCCCCGTCGACCTGAACCAAGATCCATCCCTGAGCCCAACCAACAGACAGCTCAGGCAATAATCTAGGCACAGGAATAATGTATTTAGAAATATCTAAGTCCGACACTCTGACCTCAACAAATATAAAAATGAGCTAATCATGACTGATGTTGAATCATTAATCGATTTCAGTCATCAATACAACTAGTCTTTGCATGCACGAACGAGATATGAATTAAATTAGATGCACTCAATGCCTTACTTCTTTGTATAACATTTCATAGACTATTATGTAGAAAATAAGAAAGACATCAATATACCTGGTCTTAGTTTATTTACTCTGCTTCTCCTGCAAAATTAGGGAGAAGTAAAAATTTAAGGACCGACATTATCCTATCGTTTTAACTACTATGAATCAAATTTGAAAAAAAATAACCTGTGTGCTAATCCCTCAAAATGAGTCGGCTAAATGCTCCAATGTTGTCCTTGACAAGTAGATATCCCTGAATCAATTTGCTTTAGTAAGACTAGGCTGAAGTTTGGTCATTTAGTTCAACAAAAAAAGTAAAAGGTTGAAGGTATGTAGCAACATTTATATTCTATACACAAGTAATATTGCAACTAGAATAATACCAACCTGGTAAACAACGTTTTGATGTCGCCGAGCAGGTTGTGTTGGGACATTATTGGCACCTGATGTTGGGATCCTTGTGTCATCAATCTCTACATATGGAACACAATCTACCTTCTCCCAATCTTCTCCTTCAGCAACACATCGATCTTTGAGTAAATCACTCTCTCTTATCTTGATCTCATTGCTGGACAACGTTCAATCTTTAATTCAACTAAAGAGGTTAGATTCTTGAGTGAAGGCAAGTTGATGAACTCAGGACAATTTTCAATTTTGAGAATTCGAAGGCGAGGCATGTCATTTGCTTCCAATCCTCTCCAATTCCGGAGTTGCACCAACTTCTTGAACGTCAGTGATTCCAATGATGGAAAATAGACGTCCCTAGTAACACTGGATGTTCCACAAAAGCGGCGATCCACAGCTGTTACACCGGCAAATTCTTCAATGACAAGAGTCTTAAGAGTTTGAAGCTCACCAAGTGCTGGGAAGATCTCACATGATGGACATTTCATCAAATGTATCTTTTGGAGGCTTCGCGATGGATCACAAATCCATTCTGGAAACAACTTGCCACTGTAGTTTATTATTTGCAACTCTCTCAAACAAACATGAGGTTCTAGGCCTGCGAGTACATCTTCAGCAACAGTTGCATCCACCAATCTCATCCATTGCAATTCTATCTTCTCTAGCAACAACTTGTTGCAAAGCATTGCCTCCTCTGCCATAGATCGATTTTGGACATATTCGAGAAATCGAATGCAAATTGACTCTTTAAGACAATTCATATTCTTCAACTCTGAAATACAGTATCCTTCAAGACTATCACCCACAATGAACAGAGGGAGGGTCTGAAGGCTACGAAGGTTTCCAATGTGGGATGGTAGATGAAGACGAATTATGTCACTTAATTCCCAATCAAGACACAACATATTAGTCAGTTTTTGAAATTGTTGTGGCAAATGGAAAAGTTGTAAAGTGTTTGTGAGACTGAGGAATTGCAAGTTGGAAAGTTTACAGAGTGTTTCAGGTAATTTGTTTATGGGAGTAAAAGAAATATCAAGGTTTCGTAGACGTTTCAACCTATGTATGGAGTCTGGAAGCTCTGTAATATCGGTTTTCTTCAGTTGCAGTACACGAAGGCGCACTAGTGCCTTGAAAAGCTGGCGAGGCACAGGACCAATCCTTCTATCATTGAGGGAAAGAAAAGTCCTCAAACGTTTGAATTTCTCAAGTTTAGTCCATGTTGTAAGTTGAATATTGCCGCACAACAAAGACAAGTGACGAACATTTTCAATCTTTGAGGAATCACTTAGAGATGACACACCTTCTTCAAGCCGCAAACATATCTTCGAAGCATCCAGTTGAGAAAATATGTGGCTGAATTTGTGCAGCTCATATATTGGTTTTCCAGAGTGGTTTACAACTCCATTTTCCAAATGTTGAAGTATTGACATGCCTTGTAAATCACTAAAATATTCTTTGCCTTTATCCAGCTGAATAACCCCTTCTGCTACCAAAAGATGAATCAAATCATCCATATTGAAAGAGTACTTATGAGGAAAGAGTGAGAAATAAGCAAGACACCTCTTCAATTGAGGTTGCATAGTTTGATAGCTCAACCTCAAGGTTGAAACAATATCCCTTTTTACATCAGACATATCTCGCAACTCCTTGTTCAACCTCTTTGCCCATTCATTTATGTTATCTTGACCTAGGACCATCCCAAGAGTTCTAGCAAGCAGAGGCAAGCCTTCACACTTTGTTGCCAGGGTGTCAGCAATTGCTGTTAAATGCAATTCAGGCAAATCCTTATTCAGCATGAGTGCATTATTCACAATGACCTGTGTGCACTTTTCCTTTGACAAACGCTTCAAGTAATATGCAGCTGTACGAGTTATTTGTGAAACTCGCGGATTGAAAGTAGTGATGAGAATCTTAATCTCTGTGTATGTAGACCGTTGTGTTGTAATGTGACCCCAGAAGTCATTCCACTCAGTGAGTTGTATATCAAGCAAATTGTCGAATAAGATCAACAACCTTTGATTTTGTTTATTGAGGATCCCATTGTTGCCAGTAATTGATCCTTGTTGCTCAGTTGCTTCTTTGGATTCAAAACATCCCTCAACCAAATAAACTCGTACTATATGGCAAAATTGCTCTGAAATTCTTTTGTCAGCCAAGATGGCTTTGGCAAGCATTGTCTTTCCAAGTCCGTCCATACCTATGATGGATACTCCATTATGTTCAGAATCAACTGACGAGGTCAGCTTCTGGATGATATCCGTAATGTCGTTTTCCCTTCCAATTAAAGGCAGTAGTGACGACTTCATATTAGATTCACCATTACGAAATGTATTTTGAGCTTTGGTTTGGCCAATAAGCTCAATGATGGACTTCACTTCTTCAAATACTCTGTCTAGTTTTCTTTGTAGCTCCTGAATCTCAGATGGCCAATCAAACCTTTTTGGATGCTTAAACATAGAATTAAGCATTGGTTTCTTGGAAGAAGAGTTCTGAGCGACAGCATCGAGTATATCTTCAATCAAATCTTCTGCATCTAAGCAAAGAACAGCTACAGTGTCAAGTCGATCTTGCAAGCAAAGTCGAATGCTATCATCCAATTGGAAGTTGTTTCTAGCATTTTCACTGCTTCCTCACCCCTTTGGAATTTCTTGTATTCAACTTGAATGACACCAATCAGTTTAATTAAGTTCTGAAGTAAACTTGAAGCAAAGGCAGATTGAAATGCAGCTTCCATTGTAGCTTAAATTGAAAATATATATGGTGGTGTACACTCAGCTCCTTTCTCATATGGATGGGCTCCTTCCTGGGGTGAAAATTGAAGTTCAGTCGCATTATAGCTTGAACATTGTGATAAAACTAAGATGAAATTAAATGCCAAAATTAGAGTTCAAAACTACTCCCTCCCTTTTATTTAGTTGTAACGGTTTGACATGTACATTAATGATTTATATATAAGAATAAAAATATAATTAGGCTTTATTCTCTTCCTCTTTAAACGTTAACATTTAGTAAAAAAATAAAAAATCAATTTAGTAAAAATAAGTTCAGTTAATAAAAATAAATTCAGTTAAATAAAAATAATTTTTAATCCGTAAAAGATCATTAACTTTAAAAAACAAATTTAACAAAGAATTAGTAAAATCACAAATTATTATAGGTGGTAGTTATCATGGGTTACTTCGTTAGTGTTATAGGGTTTACACGGGTTGTTAGTGTTACAAGGATTACTCAAATCTGTGTTTTAAGGGTGGTCACTTGGACAATATTATAAGGGTTACTTTATTCTCTTTTACAAGCGGCCACATGATGTGGCCAGCCGCACACAAAACGCGCAGTATTAAAATTAAGTTTTAATCACTAAAAATAATTTTTATTGCAATAAAATAATTCCAATTCAGCAAAAATTAGTAATTTTAAAAAACAAATATAATATTCATTAAATCTTAATCGTTCAGTTTAAAAATTATGGTTGTCATTTTTCAAACGACAACCATAGAATCATCCTAAATATTCCTTTATATTCTATAATTTCCTCCCCTTTTCCATTTTTTATTCAATTTTTTTTTTTGGCTTTTAATAGTGTCCAAAAAATATTTGTAACAAAAAAAATAAAAACAATACATTAAAGTCAAAAGAAATAAGAATAATCATGTATTCATGTGTACAATAGATGTTTATTCAAAAAAATAAACTATGCTTTATTGTTTATTTTATAATAAAAGTAACCTCTTTTTTTTTTAGGAAATATAATAAAAGTAAATTCTATTTATATTGGGTAAATTTTATTTTATTTATTTATTTTTGAAATTGAAATTTTATTTATTTTGGATAACTTTTTTAGTGGATTTACAATATTTATTATGCACCCGACTTTTTTAAAAGTTTGTATCATTGTATTCCCCTTAAAACTTTATGTTCTTCACAAGAATGTTAATGTTATTTATACGATGGAGCAATTTTCTAAATTCTTCTCAATGTACTCCCTCCGTCCCTTTATTAGATGGCTATTTCTAGTATTTATTACTTACATAATAAAGAAAAGTATGCATCTAATTAAGGGACAGAAGGAGTATAAAAATAGCATAATCTTGTTGGGTTTTATTTTATTATTTTTTTTTTTTTGAAACAAACCCACACAGGGCTACTTAATTAAACGAAACTGAAGAAGCAAGTTGTTAGGTTGCAAGTGTGAGTTGTTGTCCCACATGGAAAAATTAAACAAAAAACCACTACTTTATAACCTAAGTGGGCTACTCCTCCTGTTATCATATGATTTTGGGATGGAACCTTATTTGGGCTTATGTGTAGGCTTTTCTCTCCTCCTTGCCTCTCCCTCGATTCCTAACACAAGTTCAACAATAACAAACATAATACGGAGTATTACACACTAACGAACATGCACACTTAAATTGGGAAGAACAACTTATTGGAGAGGATATCACTAAGAAGATTTTACTCCCTTCATCCCTGTTTGTTTGTCCAATTTAATTTTTTACGGTCTTCAATAAATAACATAGGATGAGAAAAATCTAACAAGATCTATAGAATTTTCATGAACATGAATTAAAAATTTAGTCCCAAATGTTTGCAAAAGAGGGAGGAAACAATTAGTGACGAAGGGAGCAACGGAAATATGTTTTAATTTAGGAGAGCAATTGTTACTTTATTAGTATATCTCTAACTCTCTGAGCCTCTAGCAGCAATAGCTAATGATACCAAAAGTGTTTAATTTTCAGAATATCTAAGTTTACTTGATTTGGGAAGATCAAGCTATTAGTGAACTAGTGTTTTTTATTTTTCTTTTATGTCCAAAGAATGTAGAAATTAATTGAAAGATTTGACACAATAGTAAATATCAATTTGAAATAGCGTCGAAGAAGTAGAAATACCTGGAATGAAAGAACTTTGGTGGGAGGTGTGGAGAAATGAGAGGAATTGAAGGAGAGATCTTGAACCCAGCGATCCTACTTCAGAGCTCATACCAATGCTTCAACTGCCATCATTGACTTATATTTTCAATACCAAAAGGGATTTTTTCATTCCAATTTTCTCCTGTATCATTCGCCTCATTTCTTACTTTGTGAGTTTTAAAATAACACTAGTTTTTGGTCTTTTTTTTTTTTTTTTTTTTTTTTTGGACGGGAGCTTTTGGTCTTAGTATAAACTACATTAGCTTAAATGGTTAAGGCCCTGTTTTTTTTTTTTTTTAGCTTTTGGGCAGAGCAGATTTCAGCTTTATTATTATTATTATTATTATTATTATTATTATTATTATTATTATTATTATTATTAAAAATAGACAAAGTCATACAACTTACAAAAAATTAGTGTGAAGCCGAGATATAATCTAGGCCCCCACTCCTCTAACTATACCAAATCCTACCCTAGTAAATATATGAGCAGCAGCACGGGCCCCAATGTCTTGCGTCACCGAGATCTTCTGAACCCGCTTCAGCAATGAAATAGTTCCTTCTCTAATTCCCCAAGTGAAGAAAAGGAGAAGGGAATGAAACCATAACCAATCGCCTGACAGCTAGATTCATATTTGACCCTCTTCCGATGAGCCGCATAAGCCACAACCCATCCAGGAATAAAGTCAGATAGCCCAAACTGTGTCAAAGGAGAAGACCCTATCAAGTCAACACAGACATCGCGACCACGTATATGGAATAAAGTAACACATTTGCAGATCTGAGGGCCCCGTCGTCCCCTCCAGACAACTCAATGTCAACCTCCTTTCTCGATGAAATCCCAAATCGATAGCAAACATCAACAAGGGTTTCCCGAACAACATTATGCAGATGCTTAATACCCACCATACCAGCACACTACACCGCGTGATCACCGAAAATATTCCAGAAAAAACCCTTGAACAAGCAGAGCATGACGTCGAGACAGAGAACAATGGAGCACCCAACCGGTAGCACAACACACATCGGTAAGTCTTTGCGTTCATCGTCTGACCCAACCCCGAAATAGGGACTGCCCGAAGCCAAGCAGAGGTGTGATCTCCCTGCTGCGATTTCCACAAGGTCGATTGTCGAAAAGATAAAGAAAAGGTGGATTCTGCAGAAGCAGTAACCTTTGTGAAACATATATCTGCCAATTTCTTCATGAGTTTCAAGGCAGCGACCTCACTAGGATTACTCAAAATGTCAGACTCCACCGTTTGATTAAACAAACCCAATGCATCTTCAAAAGCTCGACCAAGACCAACAATATCAGCATGACGTAGAAGCTTAGTCTGCAACCCAGCAGACTGTAATCCAGATGCAAGAAAAGCATAATGACGAACATCTCCTGCAAAAGAAACACCAAGTCCTCCAAATGCAAATGGCAAGGTGGCAAGCCGCCACTGCCAATCGCCAATCCCAGGCCCTGAAGTAGTAACAATACGCTCCAAGGAATATCGAAGGGCCCATCGAATGTGCGCTGAGCCGGTTGCAGCATCAGCTGGGGCTGTGATTCGAGATGCGGAGGGGGTGGCTATGCTGGTTGCAGCATGGCAGGTGGAGGATAGATGGGATGCAAGGACATCTGAAGCTAAGGCTCTTTTATGGGGCTTGAAGGTTGCAGTGGATTTTGGTTACAGGAAAGTGATTGTTTGGAGCTTGTGAACGCAATTTCAACACACGAGAAGGGAAGCAACAACTTTCACATTATATTGGATGATATTTATCATGTTTGTAACTCTTAAGAGTTGTTTTCTCGGAGCTTCGTTCGTGGGGAAGGCAATAAGGTTGCCCATGAACTAGCACATTGTTTGCCATGGGGAACTAGCAGTAGATTTTGGTTTTCTGATTTTTCCTAGTTGCATTGTACCTATTTTGGAACATGATCTTCCTATGAATGAAAGCTAAGGTCTGGGAGACATCTTTTCCAAAAAAAAAAAAACAAAAAAGTACGTTGTACGGGACTTAAACTAGTTTTATCTAAGTCCAATTATATTGCAACGCTTATTAAAATAAAACAAGGTGGAAATATTTTCTTTTTATTGTTTTCCATTTACCTATACCCGACACCTCACATATCATTGGCCATGTGGAATTGTGAAAACTATTTTTATTTTTTTATTTTTTTTGTCACAAGTTGTCACCTTTAATAATGATAACTTTCCATCTACTCCATATTATAATGGAGATGAATAGATTATCCTCAAAAAATAAAAAAAATAAAAATAAAAAAGAATGGAGATGAATAGATTATGAATTTATGAGTAAAATACTGCTGAAGAGTTCAACAACCCAAAAATATTTTGAAGAAAACAAGCATAAACCTCTGCCAATCCAATTTCATTTCATCGTCATGTTTGTGAGATGATGGACAACCCTCGACTTTCTGATGCTGTTGCATCTCTTTTCCATAAACTGGAACCCTCTAATCTTTCCAAATACAAATTCCCACCAGATCTGGAAATTGGTCTTACAAAACTGAAAGATTCACTGCCCCTTCTGCTTGACCCTAGCCGTACCCACGATTTATCTTTATCCACTGATGATCTCGAGCACCCTGTTTGCAGGGTAAATGATTTACTGGATCTTCATTTTGATGAGAGTTCTTCAATTGTTAAAGACGATGGAGAAGAAGAAGAAGAAGAAGAGAAGAGGTTTGAGGAGCTGAGGTTGCTTATCTCACGCTTGGCGCCACTGTTTAAAAGTTGTTCTGAAATAACAGAGTTTGAGTTGGCCTATCTTAAACGTCTTCCGCCCGATCTTTTCAGATTAGTTGTGTATTGCTCAATTTATCCTAAAGGTCATAGATTTGTCAGAGAAACTCAGGTCAATATGTTGATGGCTCAGGATCTCTTGAGAGATACACTAGAAAAATATATAAATCCTGACAAAATGCCCGTAAGTATTGTAACAACATATGTAATGCCTGATGAAACAACTATCTTGAGAGATACTGGAAAGCGGTATTTTGAAGAGCTGCTTTCCAGAGGGATATTTGAAAAACCCGTGTCTGTTTTTGGTAATGGCAACAGCAGAAGCGTATACAGCTGTGAGATGAACCCTCTTGTCTGTGATGCAGCACGCCGCCTTGCAGCTGAAGAGGTAGCTGTGTTCAGTACACGTAATTCTGATGGTTCCTCTTCTGTAACTGTTGGACAACGAACTAAGCATGTAGCATTCCACAAGAACGGGTTTTCACGGTTTAACCTGGAAAAGGTGATCCAGAATTGTGAAAACACTACTTCATTATTAATGTTCTCTAGTCACTGGGATGCGTTTTTTGGTGGATCTGCAGGTCAAATTGTAAGATTGGATAATTTAAGACAGCTTCGTGTATTAGACTTATCTGGATGCCAATTTAGGAAGCTTCCACCTATCCGTCTATCTTCCTTGAAATATCTTAGTCTGTTAGGGAATGTTCTTCTCGAAAGTTTTTCTTGTGAGTTTTTTCCGCTCTTGGAGACATTAGATATTCATGGATGTGTTCGATTGGAAAATGTTGTGGGTTTAGAACTCTTAAGCGATTTGAGGAATTTGTACTTAACATCCCGGCAATCATCTTTGACTTTAGGTTTCCACCGACGAGGAGTGTTATTAGAAGTCTCTCACTGTGTGCATTTGATCGACATTAGAGGTCTACATATGAATATATTGCGCATCTTTGATTGCCCAAGCCTTAAAACACTTCATATCCGTTACCTTGAGGAATTAGTTCTGCATAATTGTGCTAGTCTAGTTATAGACTATGGAACACAATTGTATGGGAGAAGCATATATCTCAAAAGATTGGAACTTGTAGGTCTTCCAATGGTTCGGTTGCCTGACTGGCTTCAATTCGCCCAGGTTCTAGAGTATTTCATGATTAAAAATTGTCCACAGTTACAAAAGCTAGAGAGTGTGAAATACCTTAGATCTCTTCAGGAACTATACATCTATAGTTGTCCAAATTTGCGATCTCTACCTTATAATGCTCTATACTCACTTCCTAACCTCAACTTACTCGATATCAGGAATTGCCCAAAGCTCACTGGAATACCCACATGGCTCTCCAATATTCAGGTAAAAAAGTTTCACGTTGGTTTTCCAATTATTATGAGATGGAAAGAGTATTAGCTTTAACTTGACAACATACTGACTTACTGAGCATGTGAATTTTCAACAGGAGGTGTTTAGTGCTATTCCATCTTTCTTCAGGAAAAGCAGTTCTACTGGTCGTGCTAAAACACACAAACCCCAATCCAGTTCGGAATCGAAAGGTAAACTTCTTATTAATTATATGGTTATTGGCTTGTGGCGGTACATTATTTGAGGTTAGGAAGTGGAACATCTTAGATCACTTCATGAATTATACATCTATAATTGTCCAAATTTGCGATCTCCACTCTACTCACATCCTAACCTCAGCTTACTCGATGTCAGAAATTGCCCAAACTTAACCATATTGTTCTCCAATATTCAGGTACAAAAAATTCACATTTTTTTTTCATTATTCACATATTAGTATCAATTTTTTTAGTTTTCAAAAGAATTTGATGTATCAAATAAACAAAGGTATTACTTCAACTAATAACACATTATATTTATACTTTATTTTAGAATTAAAAAATATAGTTGTCATTAAATTAAATCACGAATATGATTGAAAAATTCAAATTCAATTACGGAGTACCACAAATTATTATATAAATGAAGTATAATAAGAAGTTTCTTTTAATAAAAGGGATGAAATGTGCATTTATTTTGAACTGAATGTGCATATATTTTTCTTTTTATTTTCAAAATGTGCAAATTTGATTTTTGACCTGCTACTTTTTTCAAAATAAAAATCTATGTACATAATATATGCACATCGTTAAGTTCCGGTCAAATTTTTTTGCACATTTTGTTAAAAAAATATGCACGTTTAACATATATATATATATATATATATATATATATATATATATATATATATATATATATATATATATAATTTGGGTCAAATGAGAAACTTACGAACAATAAATCCTTCTCATCCCTCCCATTTTAATAAACTTCTCATTTGACCCTATGTGCATACTTTTTAACTGAATATGCAATCAAAAATTTGACTCAAATTTGATGTGCATAAGTTTTGAGCAAATATGCATAATCTTCGTTTTTCCAGAAAATTGGTAAATTTAACAATTTTAAACACAATTTTGCACATCTAGTTTTAAAAAATACACATTTAATATAAAATATATACACATTTGTTCCTTCTCATCATTTTAAGAAATTTCTCATTAGTCTCATATATATGTGTTATATTTGACTATGTCAATTATTATTGGACAAAAGAAGTATTACTTTAGTTTAATTTGGCAATAAACTAAGTATGCGACTCTTTTTCAACAGAAGAATGTTAGTGCTATTCCATCTTTCTTCGAGTGGAAAAGCATTTATAGTGGTCGTCCTAAAACAAACAAATCCTCGTCTCAATCTAGTTCAGAATCAAAAGGTAAATAAACATCTTTTACTTCCTCCGTTTTTTTAGTGCATTATTTTGGTTTTTGCGGATTCTTAGACAATTTTTGGAATAGAGAGATGTAGAGAGAAAAAGGGCCCATGTGATAAGAGAAGGATAGAGAGAATTAATTAATTACAAAAGAAAGTGATGCATTTAATAAATTGAAACTTCCTTATTTAAAAAGTGATGCATCTAAATTGAAATTTCCTTATTTAGAAAGTGATGCATCTAAAAAGAATTGTAGGAAATATATGGTTATACGCTTGTGGCGGTACATTATTCAAGTTCCATTTTCTTTGTCTAAACTTATTAAATTTATGGTTATAGGCTTGTGGCATCGCCTTTTCCCCTTCCATCTAAACCACCATCCCCCTTTCCATTCCCCACGCAACCACCAAGAAAACCCCTCCCATGCACTGGGGTATGGTGGATATTGGTTGGGGTCTAGGCACCAACGTAGGGTAAGGGAGGAGGTCAGCCAGTGGACTTAGGGGGTTGGTGTTAGTTTTTTTATTGATTTTTTTGATCAATTCCATTAAGACACATGACATTTTTTAAAAAAAAATCACTTTCTACAGGTCATCAATCATTTGACATGTTAAAAGAAAACGCCTTTCAAAGTTGGAAATAATAAAACTAGTGTTTTCTTTTATTTATTCAAGCAGTTGTTTGTTATGATTAGATGATTGTGATATTTGAAGGCTGAGGTGATCAAACTCAGGGCCCAAATCAAATTTGGGTGGGCTTTGAGAATAATTTTTTAGCTTGAAAATTTTCAATTTTTCTCGCTAGCTTGTACATAATACATTTTTAATGATTTTTTTGTTAAATTTTTTGGACTGGCTCGAAAAAGCCCAATTCGGCTTATTTTACGAGTTTAGGCAAGCAATTTTTGGCCTAAAATTTGGCCCGACCTAGCCCGAGCATGTGGGCCAATTTTTCTTGCCTTGAATTGACTTTGCCCGAACCTGCCTGCCTCACACTTTGATCACCACTAAGATCATCCAAAGGTCGTATATTATTTTTGAATTTTTTTTCTTTTTATTCATCTATTGCCGTTGTTGTTTGTTATAGACGATCATGATTACATGGAAGGACTCTCTCCATCAATTTACTGTAATTACATTTTGACTAATGTTTAAAATTGTAGAGGAAGTGCTAATACATCACTATTAGACACAAACATATACATTACAGTAGCAATTTTGTAAATAATGACATTTTGAGAGTACTATTAAGAGACAATATAGTACTACTAAACATTCTCAGTAGTATTATATATGTTTCCAGTAGTATAAAAGATACTCTTAGTAGTACTTAAAAAAACAACTCAGTAGTACTATTAGGACTTCCAGTAGTATAAAAGGCTATTATGCAGTTTGCTTGTGTCTAACAGTGATGTATTAGGACTTTCTCAAAATTGTAACTATAATAAAAATATAATATTATTATAGGATTTTTTGGCTTTTACCTCAAAAAAAATATTGTTTTTTTACCATCAAAGCTTCTAGGCCTTTTAATTTACCACCAAAAACAATTCTAAAAACTATTTTCTTACCACCAACAGTCAAGACAACCGTTAAATCTAACGGTTTTTAAAAAAATTCTTCGATTTTCGTGCGCAAAAATATGTTTATTATAGGTTTAGAGGGGCATTTTGGCCCTTTGAATCCAATTTGAGTTCAGAATTGTTGAAAAATGATTGAAAATGCCTTGTTCTACGTGTTTCACGCAAATCGAGGTATTTTTTAGTTGCTAGCAATTGATGATTATTTGTTGCCAATTTTGACCTTAAATTGGTCCCAAAGAACTAAAACGCCCCACAAACCCCCTAAAGTGCAAGTTTTGGCACGAAAATCGAAAAAGTTAAAATATTTTGTTATATTTACCGGTTTTTTTACGATAGGTGGTAAAAAAACAATTTTTTTTTTTTTTTTTTGTAAAATAAAAGTTTTAGAACTTTTTGATAGTAAAAAAACAATTTTATGTTTTTTTATGGTGGTAAGAGTAAAAAAAGCTAAAGAGCACTCTTAAAAAAATAGAAATAAGGGCCTAATTTTCTAATGGCCGTGCTAAAACAAACAAATCCTCGTCTCAACCTAGTTCAGAATCAAAAGGTAAATAAACATCTTTTACTTCCTCCGTTTTTTTAGTGCATCATTTTGTTTTTTGCGGATTCTTAGACAATTTTTGGAGTAGAGAGATGTAGAGAGAAAATAGGTTAATAGGGTCCATGTGATAAGAGAAGGATAGAGAGAATTAATTAATTACAAAAGAAAATGATGCATCTAATAAATTGAAACTTCCTTATTTAAAAAATGATGCATCTAAATTGAAATTTCCTTATTTAGAAAGTGATGCATCTTACAAGAATTGTAGAAAATATATGGTTATGCTTGTGGCGGTACATTATTCAAGTTCCATTTTCTTTGTCTATACTTATTAAATTTATGGTTATATGGCTTGTGGCGTCGTGTCATGGTTCGAGAGTTTTGACACTTGATCGTGCGGCGCGCACTTGTTTATGGACGACAAGGACGCAAGCCTAGAGCGAAGGGGGTTCGTGGGCACACAGCAACACAAACCAAAGGTATCTCAACGAGGCACTTGTCAACAACGAGTGCGGAGTCGGGGCTTGTGACGGCCGATACTTCGAAGCGGGCACAAGCGGGACTGACGATAAGGAAGGCGTCTTTTGAGGTTCTCTTGGTTTGGAGGGGATGCTTTAAAACAAGACAATCACAATATCTATAAAGGCTTAAATCATCACACAAGTCTTAAAGCAAAGGCAACCCGGATAGGAGCTTTCATTCATTCAACCATTCGCCCCATAAAGAACTTTATATTGATTACATAGAGAAATACTAGTGAACGCTGAAACTACAGTAACACAATAATTTTCCCCCTAGAGCCTATAAAGCAAAAAGAAAGACTTAGAAGACATTACATAAGGAAAAGGGAAGGGGGATACATAGAGAAAGAGGCGGATTCTAACATCCTCCCCCACTTAAACCGTCGACGACTTCGTCGACTTACAGAATAAAACCTACACTTAAAGGAAAAGAAATAATAGTTTCACTCTTCCGTTGCAGGTGTGGCTCTTGTTCTGGTTCTGATGTTAGCACGGTTGCTGGTGTTGCGGTTGCTGTCATCTGTATATGGATGATAGGGTTTGAGACGGCTAACGTGGAAGACAGGGTGTATCTTCATCCACGTAGGCGGCTCAACCTTGTACGCACTCTTCTAAATCCGTTTGGTGATGCGGATGGGGCCTTCAAATTTCCTGATCAGCCTGCGATCTCTTCCTCTAAGGAACTTGAGCTGTTTTGGGAGGACCTTCACCATCACCATATCCCCTACATCAAACTCCACCGGTCTTCTATTCTGGTCGGCCCACTTCTTCATTTTCTTCGAAGCCCGCTCCAAGTATGCGCGAGCAGCTTCCATGTTTTGCTGCCATTCTCGCTTAAACTCTCGTGCTTCGCGACTCCTCCCATCTTTGGATATTGCTATGGTGTGAGGCAGGAGAGGTTGTTGGCCCATCACCAATTCAAACGGACTTCTGTTGGATGCGGTACTCTTTTGGGAATTGAAGCAAAGTTGAGCAACATCAAAGAGCTTCACCCAATCCTTCTGGTTGGCGCTAACGAAATGTCTCAAGTATTCCTCTAAGAGACCGTTGAATCTCTCTGTTTGGCCATCAGATTGAGGGTGGTGGCTTGAAGACATGTTTAAGTCTGACCCTAGCAGCTGGAACAACTCTGTCCAGAATATGCTCGTGAATCTTATATCTCGGTCGCTGACTATGCTTTGGGGCAACCCCTAATACTTCACGACATGTTCAAAGAACAATGCCGCCGTATCCTCCGCACCACAAGCCTTCTGCATGGGAATAAAGGTGGCATATTTGGAAAATTTGTCATTAACCACCATCACTGCGGAGTACTGGTCCACTTTGGGGAGACCACTGATGAAGTCCATTGATATGCTTTCCCACGGACGCGTCGGCACGGGAAGAGGATCTAGGAGGCCTCCAGGTTTCCGACGGTCTACCTTGTCCTGTTGACAAACCAAGCAGGTCCGAGTGTAACTCATGACATTTTCTTTCATTCCCGGCCAATAATACCCCAAAGAGAGTAAGCTTAAAGTCCTCTGCCAACCTGGGTGTCCGGCCCATAGGGTATCATGACATTCCTTCAAGAGCATCTTCCGCAGGCCTCCCGCCTTTGGTATGAATAGCTTGTTACCCTTTGTGAAAATGAGCCCGTCTTCTATCCAGAAGCGTCTTATCTTTCCTTCTTCTTTCAGCCCTTTAATAGTGTTCGTCATGGGGTCTTCTGAGAGGTGTTGTTTGACTCGCTCTTTGATTGAGGTGGTGACATTGCTGGCTGACATGGGGGATAGTCCCTGTATGGGGGCCAGATCGGCATGACGGCTCAAGGCATCAGCAACCCTGTTACTGGCTCAAATCTTGTACGTGAACTCTACATCAAAATCTGCTAGGACCTCCTGCCAACGAGCTTGCTTCCCCGTTAACTTTGGTTGGGTGAGGAAGTAGCTAGCCGCAGTGTTGTCGGTGCGAACAATAAACTTCGCTCCCAACAAAAGTAGTGTCTCCACCCCTTCAAGCAGTGAACAATGGATAACGGCTCTTTTTCTTGGGCAGCATACCTTCTCTCGGCTCCACTAAACTTCCGGCTCTCATAAGCAACTGGGTGGCCTTCTTGGAGTAAGACCCCGCCCAATGCATAGTCGGACGCTTCCGTCTCAACTTCAAACGGCTTGTTGATGTTAGGGAGGGCTAAAACCGGTTCCTTCATTACTGCTTCTTTGAGCTTGAGGAAAGCCCCTTGTTGTTTTTCCAACCAATTCCATTTGTTGTCTTTCTTCAACTGTCCGTGAGGGGACTTGCTATCTCTGAATATCCTTGAATGAAGCGGCGATAGTAATTAGCCAACCCCAAAAACGACCTTCATTCTGAGACGATCTTCGGAGCTTGCCAATCACTAATAGCTTGGATTTTCTTAGGATCCATCTTTATGCCGCCTCCTCCCACAAAATGTCCAAGGAAGCTTACTTCTTCCTTCGCAAAAGCACATTTTTCCCGCTTCACGAACAGGTGATGTTGTCTCAATTTCTCAAACACCTTCCTCAGGTGTTCTAAGTGATCTTCCAAGGTGTTGCTGAAGATTACGATGTCGCCTAAGTAAACAACCACAAACTTATCAGGGTAGTCGTGGAAGACTTGATTCATCAAGGTACAGAATGTGGCGAGCGCATTTGTCAGCCCAAACGACATGACCAACCACTCGAACGCGCCGTATCTGGTGACGCAAATTGTCTTTGGTTCATCCCCCTGAGCAATTCGGACTTGATGGTAGCCAGACCTTAGATCAAACTTCGTGAAGTACACAGCGTCTCCTAGCTGATTGAACAAGTCTGCTACCAACGGTATCGGATAGTGATTCCTCATTGTTAGCTTGTTTAAGGCTCTATAGTCGATACACAGTCTCAAACTCCCATCTTGCTTCTTCTGGAAAAGGACCGGTGCTCCATAGGGAGCTCTGGAAGGTCGGATAAACCCAGCTTCCAACAACCCGTCCAATTGGTTGCGTAACTCTGCAAGTTCCGGAGGGGCCATCCGATAGGGGCTTCGTGCAGGTGGTCTAGCACCTAGCACCAATTCAATGCTGTGATCTATGGCCTTTCGAGGAGGAAGATATTTTGGGAGCTCCTTAGGAAGTATGTCTGCATATTCCCCGAGCAACTCTGCTATAACTTCCGGGATATCGCCTTCGACCTCCTCGTCCTTCATTGAGAGAGTGGCGAGAAACGTGGGCTTGTTTCTCCTCATCCCCTTCTTGAGTTGCATCTCCGAGAGAAGGGGGTCTTTCAATTCTTGTCCCTTTTCAGCTTGGGCGTGTGTCCATAGGAGGCACGGTTGGTGGCTTGTCACAAGTAAGGACCCTAGGTGGGGCAGCGGGACAGGCTTGCTAGTGTGTAGGAAATCCATCCCAAGGACCAGCTCAAAATCATCCATTGTTTCCACTGTGAAGTCTAGGCTCCCACTCCATTCCCCAATCCTAGTTCTCACATTCTTTGCCACGCCGCAAGTCGGTTGTGCTTCAGAGTTCACAGCCTTCATGCGACCACCACTATGCACGACTCTCAGCCCTAACCTATTTTCCTCACGCTTCGTGACGAAATTATGAGTGGCTTCTGTATCAACCATCGCTTGAGCCTTCTTCTCGTTTATCCAGACATCTACATACATCAGGCTGGTAGCCCGACCCTTATCTTCCGACGTCTCTTTTCCCATAATGTACATGCAATACACTGCCCCCAACTTTGAGGGTTCTTCTTCACTTCCCACGTCCTCCTCTTTGTCATCCCCTTTATGAGGGTCAGAGGACATTGAGGAGAGTTTCTTCTGGAGGTTGTCTATTTCTGACTTGTACTGGCACTCGAACCATTTGTGCGGCCCTCGACAAAGTATACAGGTGAGGGGTTTGTTCCATGATGATGATGAGCCCGAGGACCCACCTCTGTTTGTAGACGCGGTGAAGACGTTCTTCCGCAAGTCGTCTCCCCCATTCCTGAACCTATTCCCCACACTGTTCGAGCTAACCTGAGAATTACCACTGGTGCTCCTTGGAGTGCTTGATGTTGACCCACTATTTCCCTTCTTCTGAATAGGCGCCTTTTCTGACGAGTAATCCATTAACCTTTCAGCTGCAGCTATAGCACCCGATAAGGTATCAATTTTCTGGGGCCATATCTCCCTTTGAGCCCAATCTTTCAGACCCCGCACAAAGTTGAATAGGCGATCCTTCTCTGACATGTCATGAATCTTTAACATGCACGCCAAATATTCCTTCACATACTCTCGAATGGAGGTCTTGTGTTGCAGTGTTGCAAGCTTGGTGCGAGCAACAAATTCAGTATTCTCAGGGTAAAATTGAGTCATCAGCTCTTTCTTTAGATCCTCCCAAGTGTCTACCGACGTTCTCTTAGCTTGAATATCGGCATACTTAGTGCGCTACCAAAGCTTAACATCGTCCACTAAGTACATCGTGGCAGTATCAACCTTCAGTTCATCCTCCAACTGACATATACGGAAATATTGCTCCATATCGAAGATGAAGTTATCAACCTCCTTCGAATATCTCGTGCCATTAAAGGTCCGAGGTTTAGGAGGTTTTATTTTAGTACCTCCACTACCCCCGAGCCCTCTTTGGGCATGCATCAAGGTGGCACATTTATCTTGTGCATCATCAGCTAAGCCTTGTACAAAGTTAAGTTGCTCCGTCAACCCATCCACCGTCGACGCGAGCCTCTCCATTTGCTCGGCTTGCTTTATCACAATATCTTCGAGCTTGGGCATCCTTTCTTCAAGCATAACCTATTGTTCTGACTTGCCTTCAAGCCAAGCAAGTCTTTCTTCCAACGTATATCCTGGCATATCTTCGTTCACCATATCTCGAGCAACTTGGCTCTGATACCAACTGTCACGGTCCGAGAGTTTTGACACTGGATCGTGCGGCGCGCACTTGTCTATGGACGACAAGGACGCAAGCCTAGAACGAAGGGGGTTCGTGGGCACACAGCAACACGGACCAAAGGTATCTCAACGAGGCACTCGTCAACAACGAGTGCGGAGTCGGGGCTTGTGACGGTCGATATTTCGAAGCGGGCACAAGCGGGACCGACGATAAGGAAGGCGTCTTTTGAGGTTCTCTTGGTTTGGAGGGGATGCTTTAAAACAAGACAAGCACAATATCTATAAAGGCTTAAATCAACACACAAGTCTTAAAGCAAAGGCAACCCGGATAGGAGCTTTCATTCATTCAACCATTCGCCCCATAAAGAGCTTTATATTGATTACATAGAGAAATACTAGTGAACGCTGAAACTATTGTAACACAATAATTTTCCCTAGAGCCTATAAAGCAAAACGAAAGACTTAGAAGACATTACATAAGGAAAATATAAGGAAAAGGGAAGGGGGATACATAGAGAAAGAGGCGGATTCTAACACGTCGCCTTTTCCCCTTCCATCTAAACCACCATCCCCCTTTCCATTCTCCACGCAACCAACAAGAAAACCCCTCCCCCATGCGTTGGGGCATGGTGGATATTGGTTGGGGTCTAGGAACCAACGTAGGGTAAGGGGAGGTGGTCGGCCAGTGGACTCAGGGGGTGGGTGTTAGTTTTTTATTGATTTTTTTGATCAATTTCATTAAGACACATGACATTTATAAAAAATCACTTTAAACAGGTCATCGATCATTTGGCATGTTAAAAGAAAGCGCCTTCCAAAGATGGGATTATTTATAGTAAATGACGAAAATTTGGGAATAATAAAACTAATGTTTTCTTTTATTTATTCAAGCAGTTGTTTGTTATGATTAGATGATTGTGATATTTGGAGGTTGAGGTGATCAAAACTCAGCATAGCCTGAGGGCCCAAATCGAATTTGGGTGGGCTTTGAGAATAATTTTTTAGCCTTTCAATTTTTCTAGCTGGCTTGGACATACATTTTTAATGATTTTTTTGTTAAATTTATTGGACTGGCTAGGAAAAGCCCAACCCGGCTTATTTTACAAGTTTAGGTTTGTGATAGTAGAAAAAACAATTTTATGTTTTTTTTTATGGTGGTAAGGGTAAAAAAAGCTAAAGAGCACTCTTAAAAAAATAGAAATAAGGGCCTAATTTTCTTGAATTACACAGGGACAAGAAGAAAACCTTCGCGCTCTTTGCCCCATCTGTCGGAGTCGGCTTCCAGACCCAACGTCTTAAAAGTTTATGTTGATGGACAAATCTACAAGTTTTCACCAAGTCAGGCAAGTCCTTTTTAGTTTTTTTCTCAATTCAATTGCTCATGCTGACATGGTTATTGAGAGAATTTCTCAGTTCAATTATTATTATTATATTGGTGAACTAATTATTATTGGTAATAGACCACATATGCTGATTAGATCACAAATTAAGGAATAATGATAATAAAATTTAAAGCACCATTTAGTGAAAATGGAAGGGAGGAGATGAAAATTATGTGGCGATGGTGTGAGGGAGGAGATTCAGGAGAGAGAATAGTGGTGGGAGTGGTAAGAAGAGAGAGAACAGTGGTAGAAGGAGTGGACAATACTGTAGTTTACAAGAAATGTAAGGGACCAAATGTTTTAATTGTATGGTGAATTAAGTTTATTATCATAAGGTGGAAATGATAAGATTTTTGTGAACAAATCAATAACAATTTTTTTTTTTGGAACGACTGTCATTCATACTTTGAAATAAACTTTTACCAATATTAACTGGACAATTATATTCTCTAAAATGTTTATTTACTTATTTGTTATCCTTAATGTTAGGGTGTGTTCTAACAATTATACTGCTAAAATATTTGTTTACATAATTTTCCCCAACAATTATAGTTGTAACATACCAAACTGAAAGAGCTCTTGTGACATGACTAAGTATGGCGTGCACATTAGCCACTAATAGCCACCCTAATATCATAAAATGTATAGATAAGAAAGTGCTTACATTTTTTGCATATGCTTGCCTTTGACATATCTGCAATGTTAACCAGGAGCCTAATGCTTCAACAGCCTCGCACTTGCATCAGAGTGATCCATATTTTGTTGTGAAATCACAAATGAATAGAACAACAGGTACTATGTTTTTCCAAATGGTGATATCTTTTCTGTTCACTTCATTATGGTAATAAGCTAAATTATGTTATAAACTTGGACAAATAATGACTATCTATTGCGTCGATTTATGTTCCTAGGACTGCTGATTAATCATAATCATTGGCGCACTCTAGCATTGGTTTTTTAAAGCAATAATGAGGATGAAAACTATTGTTAGCCCTGGACGAGAGCTGACAAAGCTTCACTGCTGCCTCTTCCCCGATGACTATGAATTCGAGAGAGAGACATTAGTCCAGTTATGGATGGCTGTGGGGTTTTTAGGAGATATACACATGGAAGATGCTGGAAACTTAAGATTTGATGCTCTGTTAGAGGGACAGTACATCTTACTAGCAAGGATTGATATTTTGACCGGAAAAAATAAGTACAAAGTTAATTATGATAAGGTTACAAATCTTCTAAATGGGATCCAAACACTCCAGAATAAGGATCTTCGTGCCATGTTAGAAGGTGAAGATGCATCCGTGGTTGGATCTAAGTTTTGGCATGTCTCAGTAGTGTCTAATCACATTGATCAAGCAACATTTGAGACACTAAAGACTTTCAACGAATTAAGGACACTTTTATTTGTTCGTGGCGGAGAATCAAGCATGGTTTGGAGTGAATGAATTGTTGATGAGTCCATTTATGAGTAATATGAGCTTCATGCCAAGTCCTTCAGTTCTGTTTTTGTCTAATGCTCCTATTGTTTCTCCTTTTCCTTCTTCCTTTATTGAGCTCTTCAACAACCTTGACTTTTAAATTTTAGTGTAACTTTTAATTTTTTTTGGTAGGTTTATTATTTTATTGGGTGATATTTGAATGGTGTACATTAGTTGTAGACTTGGAAAATTAGAATTCTCTCACTGTGTGCATTTGATCGACATTAGAGATCTACCTGTAAATATATTGCGCATATTTGATTGCCCAAGGCTTAAAACACTTCATATCCGTTACCTTGAGGAATGCATAATTGTGCTGGTCTAGTTCTAGACTATGGAAAGGAACATATAGCACAAACGCAATGTATGGCACAATTGCTTAAGAGAAACAGAGAATCATTACTGTCAGTGGCGGATCCAGAATTTCCGAGATAGTGTGTCACCATCAATTATTGATCATTTGTGAAAGTACAATTTATTTTTCCATGTCTTATTCATAATTAATTTCAATCCAAAAATTATACATACATATATATATATATATATATATATATATATATATATATATATATATATATATATATATATATATATTTCACCAAATTGATTTCAATCCAAAAATAGGACACAAAAATTCATACCACAACTGTTTCGGGGTTTTCTGATGTCCTGCGGGAGAGTTACAATTCCGAGACTGGAACCGGACGCCTGTACCTGCAAAATAACGGAGACTCCTGAGAGCTCCGCCTCCAACGGTCAAGTTAGTACCTGATTAAGGAGTAATCAATACAGAAATTAAAGTAATGAGATCTCTCTAGGTGAGAGTGCTTAGTGTTGGTAATCTGCGTCGTTAGCGAGATTAGCCGGTTGTTGATGTTCCGTAATAACTCTGTTCTTCTCTGCTTGATTACTTTTTTTTTCACCCCTCAATTAATGAGGATTAATTGAGTATTTATAGCCTTGAGAAGCGTGCCACTCTCTAGGTTTAAGGTAAACCTAGGGCTGATCGGGCCTCTAGACTGAATTGGGCCTTGATGGCCGGTTCTCCCATTTGGCATGGGTGGACACGTGGCGTGTCTAAATTGGTCCGTAGAGGACGTATCTGTGATTGACACGTGGCAGGCTCCTGTTGGCCTTCGTGAAGGACACGTGGCGGAACCTGGTTGGTCCACTCGTCAGACGGTGATTGGTGGATAAAAATCCCCTAATCATTTGCCCCTCACAGGTGGCACGTGACTGGTCACGTGTCGCCTGTGACAGGTGTCGCACGGTGACAGGCGACGGCCTGTTACAGGTGTCTCCTTGCAAACGGCCGAGAGATTTTCCCGCCCACATTTTGAATTTGGAAGCGACCTTTCGCCTTCTCACCTTGCCTATATAAGGAAGTGCTGACTTCGGTCATTTTCACATTTGAGAACTTTGCGAGAACATTCGGACCCCTGAACTTGCTCTGACATTTCAGACCTTTTCTGCCTACCGCCTGTTCTGACAAGCCGACTGACCCGAACTTCCAGGACTTCATCAACCGTCACTCGTTCAGGTAACTCAGTTCTCTTACTCTTAATTTTCTTTTTATTTTTTGAAATGGCACCACGGAAGCACACGACACGACCTAAGTTAGTGATCAGCCGGTCACCGGGGACGGCTGAATCTAGGACTAGGAGTGCCGCCTGCCCTTTTCTGGACCCATCTTTGCTCTTTATACAAAGTCCGACTGTATCTGTGTCTATGCAGAACGTGATGGCCAGAACGAAACAGACTGCTATGATATCAAACTCAGACGGCTCCTCCCAAAGGGTGCTCCTTAGTGAAACATCTGACCAGGCGCCAGATGTAGAATTGAAACGAGGCGACTGTCAAGCCGACAGTTCTGAGAGAGGGGCCAAGGTGGTCCCTTCCCATCTTACCGTTGACATGTCTAATTTCCCTCCTGCTCCTTCTAAGGGAGAGGAGGCGGGCCCCTCTAGGAGAGGGGAGGAGTCGTCCTCTGCGGACTCGTCAGAGGACGAGTCCGAGTCCAGCTCTTCTGGCCACAGTTCTCCTGGCTCAGAAGAAAAACATAGCCGCCTACAAGAGGCGAGGCGTTCTCATGCAGTTGAGAAGGGAGACAATTGGGCGGAGCCGTCCGCCTCTTACAGAGAGGAAAACGCCCCCTACTACTGCATGGTACCCCGGGGCCGGATCGCAACCATGCAAGACAACGTGGCGAGCTTTATTGCTAACCACAAAATGGGCCCGGAATTTTTACTGTTCGTGCCGGATCCAGAAGACACTGTCGTCTGGCCGGCTGGTACCAGCTATGGTGACGGCTGCTTTGGCTGCTATGTGGCGGCCATCAAAGCTGGACTGCGCTTCCCATTACATCCGGCTGTTCAGCGGATTTTAGATGGGTATGATCTGGGGTTATGGCAGTTAGCCCCCAACTCTTGGGTAAACGTACTCGGCTATGTGGCCGGGTGCGAAATGAACGGGGTGGAGCCAAGCTTTGAGGCTTTCGCCCACATGAACTATCTCAGCCGGACCCCTAAGTCGGGAGGTACCGGCTGGTATCAATTAACAAGCCATAGGGGTTACCTCATGACGAGAGGTAAGGCGAACAAATGGAAGGATTGGCGGAACACCTTCCTTATTATCGAGGGTTCAGACACGGAGCTGAACAAACGCTTTAACAAGTGGAATAGGGATCCGCCTCTTCTCGCAGGCGGCCGCAGCATGCCGCCTGTTCCCCCAAAGGCTAAAAAAGAGATCCTAGACAAAGGACTCTTCAAAGTAGAGACTAGGGTGAACTCTACTTCAGGGGTACGAGAGCAAGTACCCCTAAACTGCGTCCCGAGCTTCAAGTGGCTCTATGACGAGTACTTTTTGGCCGCCTGTGGCCTCAGCAGTCGGTGCTCTAGAGGTAGCCGGCCTGACAAATACTCTGTTTTTTCACGCCTTGTTTACTTGGGATTTTTACTAACTTTGCTGTTTATTTCTTGCAGCTGACGCCATGAGTAAAATAACAGCATCCAAGACTGCAGCGGCCATATTGCGGGCCTCGCTCATGAAACAGTCGTATGCCGACTCCCCTAACAAGGAGGCACCCTTGGTTAGCTTCGAAAACTCTTCCTCTTTTAGTTGTCTTATGCATATACTAACTCTTTTTGTTTTCAGTCTGGTACTCCAAGGGCTTCTTCCTCGCAACAGCCGGACCCCAAGGCCCGGAGGACGACTGTTGCAAGCTCTCCTGGGTCTTCCAGGAAAACAGTGGCGGCTGAGAAGCAGCCGGCCACTTCTTCAAAAACCCAGGCGGGGCCGCCTAGATGTATGGACACTCACTTGTAAAAACTTACCCTTGCTTCCTTCTTGATTAGGTCTAACTTGTTTTATCCTTTCGCTTAATGCAGCCGGCCCCCAGGGACTTGACTTGGTTGAGGTAGCCAAGTCTATGGTTAAAGTAGTTCCTCCATCTGACAGGGAGGCGGTCAGGGGTGCCGGCACCCTTGACCTTGATGGGATTTCAGGGGTCCTAGCTGAGGTATACTTAGCATATTTTTGAGCTTTTGAGTTCCAGGACGCCTGTTAACTTTTTTGATTGGAAACTGACGCCTGTTTTTCTTTGTACTTAGGCCCTGCTCCGAGTCAACAGCCTTCGCAAGCCGATTGATCGGAAAAACAAAGAGGTAAAGGCCGCAAAAGCTATGGCCGCCTCCAGCTGTGATAAGGCAATGTTTCAAATTGCCCAAAATGAAGTACTGACCATTGATCTTCTTTATTATCAGGCACAGGCTACCGCCGCTGTTCGGGCCCAGTTAGAGGCGGCCCAAAAGAAGGTTGACGAGCTGGAGGCGACCGTCACCAACCTTAAGGCCGAGCTGAAACCTCTTCGCCAAAAAATGCACTCTTACGAAGCCATGGAGAAATCTTTGGCCAACGTAAAAGAACGCCTGGTGAACCAAGAGAAGAGTCTTACCCAAGAGCTCTCGGATAAGGCCGAGCAAGAGAAACAAGAGCTCGTCCGGGAGATGGTGGAAGACTCCGCTCAAATCCAGCGCATGACCTGGGAACGACTGTTCCCCAGTGCCGACTTTGCCTCATGGGAAAGAACGTACCGCCAGTGTTCGGAAATATATAATCAACAGATCCTGGCGGCTGCTGAAGAAGAGGCGTTGGACGGTGCGTTGGAGGAGGAAGAGCCGGTTGTGGCGCTTGTGCCACTTGGGGGTAAGGCATCAAAAGAGGGTGCAGCTAAGGCCGAGTCCAGCAAGAAGAGTGCTGACCAGGCGGCAGCTGCTGATACTGAACTGCCCCCTTCTTAAGCTTTAAGTATTTTTTCTTTTCACGGCCTGCGTGCCGTTTGCTTTGTAATTACCCGGCCAGGGGGCCGGGGTTTTGAATATTCTGCTGGTCTTTAATGGCCGGCTCATTTTTAATCAAATTTTTGTTTTGGTTCAAATTTGTCTAAGTATTTTTAATTTGTTCACTAGACCGACTGTTGTGTATGGCCGAACGTTAAGACAGGTACAAATAGTAAGTATGCCGCCTATGCCCCTGGACGACTGGTTGTCTGTTTCCAGGATAGATGATCAGTCGGCCATTTATTCAATCGGTATTCGAACTCTTTATTCAATTTGTCTGACCAAGTAAATAGAATTACCTAGTCGCCAAGGAATTAAGTAGGAAAACAAGCGGCGGGTACCAGTTGTTTCCCTTTATTGCCAATGTTGGCTTTTAACTCGTAATTTGTTAACCTAGCAAGAGTATTGGTTGAGAGCCTTTGTTTATTAAAAACAAGTGGACGACTCATACCTTTTAGGCTCCATACTAAGTTTGAGTGACTATTAAGTTAACATAGGAGTTACTTAGTCTTCGTCACAATCTTGATTGAGTAGTAGAGGTACCAGGCGGCGTAGGCCGGCTAGACCCCTTGATTCGCCAATGTTTGTTGGCTATTAACTCAATAGGTACCCCCCGCATTTATCCCAAGTAATACAGGCGGTCATCTGACTCAGATGTCAACTGCTACCACTGGTTTGGTTAGTGATAGAGTTATCCTTGTCTCAAAAACGGCTACGTGGTTGCCCTTGGGGACAGTCGTATAGGTGCCGTGTAATTAGTTTATAGAACAATGTTCCACCCAAAAGGGAGCTGCTCTCTGCGACGAATTTCATCCGGAGGGATGCCGTCGGACGCCTGCTATGATGTTGGGACAGGTCGTATTAGTTTTGTAGATTTGATCAGTTGGCTTGGCGCCTGGTCTGATCATTCGGCCTGTGGCCTTGGTAAGTTCTTGGTGAACGTAGGTGCTAAGTAAAAGAGGAGTAGCCGCCTGTTAGGCACAGGGTCGGCCAGGCCC